AATTATGAAACATCAGGAGGAAGAGAGTAAATTTAAGATTTTCCTACAATAGCATTCCAGGTTAAAGTCATTTTCTCATTTTGCTGTTTTCAGCCACTATTTATATATCAGCAGGAGGGAAAAGAGTGATTTAAATGAGACAAGACAATCCTTCCTGTTGACCCAGCTAGTCCAGAGGCTGAGGTAGGAGGATGATTTGAGCTCTGGAGTTGGAGACTAGCTTGGGTAACATGACAAGACCTCATCTCACAAAAAGAAAACAAAAATAATGCAAGCCAACAAAAAATGAGACAAGATTGTTGTACTATGTTTAAATAAGAAGATTTAGCAGGGTCCTGGACAGTAAGAGCACCACAAAGGGAACAGAAGAGAGAGATGTCAATGAAAACTTGTCATTCTTTGTACAGTATTTTTTGGGAAAAGAGGTGTCATTGCCAGGGATGGCAGATTATGAATGAAGACAACTGGTCCACTCTGGGATGCTAAACTTGGCTGTCACAGGATGTAGCAGCACAAGCTCTGGAGTCTACACATCTTATAAGGGTCCTTGTCAGGAGCACATTTAGAAGGACAGCTACCCAGGCAAAGAGCCTTTGCCTTGCTGTAGTCGCAGGAGAAGAGGGATACTTTTTCTTTCTTATGCTGCTGAGATTTTGTTGCCAGAGTTATAACAGCCCGGAGTGTCAAGGCAAAATCTTGCAGTCACATTTTTTTTTTTTGGTACCGGGGATCGAACACGGGACCTTGCACTTGCCAGGCAGGCAGTGGAACCGCTGAGCTAAATCCCCAGCCCCACAGTCACATTTATTTTAAAGCATGGAGAAGCAGCTCCAATATTGTAAAAAGTTAGCAATACTGGACAGAAATTGGACCAACAGAACTACTCCAAAATCGAGCATAAATCGTCCAATGTTCTGCATCTGCCAAAATAAGGAAACCAAGTAGGAAAGGTAAGAAACATTCTGTTTTCAAGTGATCTGGGAAAGTCATTTGGATTCAATAACTTGTCACTTTAAACTGTATCTCATTCAGAGATTAATGGTGACATTCAGCTAGCTCAAATCTTGGAAAATATCCACATGTCCACAATTACCTCTGAGAGAGGGACATTTGAAAAACTCTTGTCTTGTAAAGTCGAGATATCTACAGTGGTGATAGCAGGGGTTCTTTTGTTTTACTCAATCATTTAAAATCTCTTAACAGACATGCTTCCTTGCCTCCTGCATCCCTTACCCTTGCCTCATCCCATGCCTAACTGACCTGGGCTTTGTTTAGGTAAGAGAAACAGCCACCAAAAGATCACTTTGGATACTTTTGACCACAAAGTAAAATGGACAACTCAAATCAAAATGGCTTAAAGCTCTGACATATATAATTCTATGTAGCAGGCATTCCAATGACAAGGCATTTCCTAGAATGGTTAATATGGTGGCCCAGTGAAAACACCAAATATCCAGGTTTTGCAACATTTGTTGGGCCTCTGGCTCTCCTATTGCAGGTTGTCCTTGCAGGCTGGCTTCCTTTTGCATGCAAGATGGTATGCAACAACAGCAACTGGAGACAGATAAGAGGACTTGCTATCCTTGTTATTGACAAGAGCCCATAAAATCTTTCCCATCTGGCCTCAGCAGATGCCCTCTCACTTGTCATTGGCCAGAACCAGGTCATATGCCCATTTCTGGGAATGGGAGCACCATGATTGGCTCAGCTTTTCACCAATGAGAATTTATCTTTTTGAGAGGATTTCTGTCTGGAAGCCACCACTAAAGGCAGGGAGAAAAAGGGGCTATTATAAAACTAGAACTCTTCCAGCAAGGAAGAGGGGGAGGAATAGATACCACAGGTGCTTCACAACAGCCTCTACCTGTCTTCCAAACCTTCAATATCTGAGGCAGGCACCCAGCTCTTCAATCACAGACCCCAGGACCAGCCTCAAATTCTACTCTGTGCATTTCTTCATACTTGAAAACAGCACTGTGGTGAGGTCCACATGGCAAGGAACTGAAGCCTCTGGCCAACAACCACATGGAAGAGCCATGTTGAAAGCAAAGCTTCCAGACCTGGAGAAGCTTTCATTAAGAACACTGAGCCAGGTCTATTTACATAAGCCACTCCCAAATTCCTGACACAGAAAATGTGATGACAAATGTTTTTTAAACTGCTATTTTTGGAATAATCTGTTACACAGCAATAGATGCAGGCCTTCACAGGGACACCAAACATATTCAATGAGGTACAGGTTGAATATTCCTTATCCAAAATGCTTGGGACAAGAAGTATTTAGGAGTTCAGATTTTTTTCACCTTTTGGAATATTTGCACATACATAATCAGATATCTTGGGGATGGAACCCACATGTAAACATGAAATTCATTTATGTTTCATATACACATTGCACACATAGGTTAAAGATACTTCTATACAATATTTTTAGTATGCCTTTGTTTTGACTGTGACCTATCACAAGACCAGGTGTAGAATTTCTCCCTTGTGGTATCATATTGGCATTCAAAAAAAATCTCAGATTTTGTCTGTAATTCCAGCTAGTTGGGAGCTGAGGTAGGAGGATTGCAAGTTTGAGGGTAGCTTGGGCAAATTTATTTATTTATTTTTTAGCAATGGCAAAGTTGTTTTTTTTTTTTAAGTAAAAGTGAAGAGTGAGGGGGAAACTGGCTCTATAGAGCGAACTTGGGCTGAGTAAAAGAGGAAAAAGCAAGATAAAAGTACACCCGGGGGAATATAGGGCAAGGCATTGTGAAGAAAGCCACGATAGCATGCTCTTCTTGGCTTCTGTGTTCTTTTATACTCTCCAAATCTAGAGAAAACTCATGAGAACTTCTACATACAGGTCCTAAGAGGTGGTGCTGGGATCCCACTCTTCGGGGTGACATTAGGGTCTAGGACGTCCTATTGAAAACCTGCTGGAGTTTGCATGAGAAGTCCATGTGCAGGACTGGGAACTGTTTGTGAATGTGTCCAGTCTTGTAATTAACAGGTCATGCCTACTTCCCCAGCCAGCTTTGCCACACCCTAATCTCTTTTCGCATTTCCCCCTGAGAGACACAAATCCCCATAATTCTTTATGGGATGCTGAGGAAGAGGTCTGTCTTCTATAGCTTCTTCAAGCTGGAAGGAGCTGTAGACCCTACCTAGTGGAGATTATGTGCTCTCCAACTACCTTGGGGTGCTGTGGCTCACTGGCTGTGTTGAAGAAAGAAAAATCTGTCAGAAAATAGTAAGAAAAGAATTAATGACCATTGAGCTTCACTATTAGCCCAAATATAAGGAGCAGGTAAGATTTCCACATTTCTTGTAGCAACACTGGAGTCTTGCTTTTTGAAGAAAATCTCAAGTCTTCCAGGGCCTCACAGGAGTAGCTTTCTCTTCTTGGGTGATTTTGTTCTTCAGACAGTTCAGATGGGACTGGCTTTATTCCAGAAAGATGAATCCAATTATCTATCTCTGCCACCTTTACTGCAGTGGTGTGGCAAAGATCACTGAGGAGGGGCCCTTCCATTTTTGGCTTTTATTGGTCAGCAGATGTTCCCTCTCTCCAAGTTTTTGCAAGCACTTGGTCTCCAGGATGGACAGTCCAGGATGGACTCCAGGAGGCCAGATATATGGCTATCCCCACACATTTGGATAGCCTGCTGTATGTGGCCCAGATTAATGAGCTATTGTAAGAGCCTCATGGCCTCTGAGTCTACTATCATATCAGAGAATAGAAATTGCCTCTGATATAACATTTCAAATGGGCTCAAACTTAGCCCAGTTTGGGGCATGTCACAAACCCTCATGAACATTATTGGCAGCAATCGGAGCCAAGATTCAGACGTCTCTTGGCAAAGTTTTGCAGAGCTCAATTTCCGTCTGGTTGGAGCTCTCTACTTTCCCAGGAGATCGAGGCCCATTTCCTATGTAGGATTTTTATAGCTTGTCACTATGTCCCTTGAGGAAGGACCAAAATGGAACTGGGAATAAGGTTTGAGGTGCTGTAGGACTGCCTGTCTTACTTTGCTATCAACCTTCTGATTTCCTAAGGAGACTTTAGGTATGTCCCTTTGGTATCCTTTACAGGGCAAAAACTCCCAGGATCCAGATGTGTGTCTGCCAGGAACATCTGGAAAAGTCCCATTCCTAGGCACATTTGTATTCACTTGGGGGAGCTTATTGAAATTTCAGGGCTGGGGATTTAGCTGTGCAAGGACCCAAGTTCAATCCCTGGTACCAAAAAAAAAAAAAAAAAGAAAAAGAAAAAAAGAGTAAAAAGAAATTCTAGTGCCAAGTGACACCCCAGAACATTCAAATCATAATCTTTAAAAGTTGGAGAAGGCCAGGGATTTAGCTCAGTGGCACCATGCCTGCACAAGGTCCTGAGTTTGATCCCTGGTACTAGAAAAAAAAGCAAAGAGAAGAAAAAAAAAAGTAGGACAAGAAAATGAATAAATAAAGGATGAGGGCACCAGTATACCATTGAAAAAACAACTTTATTGAGGTTTACTTTATATCTACTAAAATTTGTCCATTTAAAGTATTCACTTTGAGATATTTGGACCCATGTAAACAGTACTACAACCAACATCTGAAACATTTTCATTACTGTAATGGAATGAAAGGCCATTAGACTGTATCCATTTGCAGACTCACCCTACCTGGCAACCATCAACTCACTTTTTAAAAAAAATTAGCTCTGTTATTGTTAGCATTTCTTCTCAACAGTACTACATGGAATGCACTCTTTTGAGTACATTTTGAGTATTCATTTCACTCAGCCTAATGTTTTTGAGATCTAGTCACATGATTTCATGTCTCAGGATTTAATTTTTTAAATTGCTGGGCAGTATTTCATTTATGGATGTACCACAGTTTGTTTATCCATCAATCAGTATTTTTAAAGTCTCTTCAGGTGACTCCAATGTGTGAGCAAGGTTGAGAAGCCTTGCTGTAAGCCTGGGACTGTAAACTCACAAGACTATGATCCTATAAATTTATCCTCTAAACATAATCCTGATGACTTCAATTACTGAGTGGGAAAGGCAGTAAGATGAGTGCTAGGATCCAGTCTATGCCTTTGAAAAGAGAATGCTCCTGGTCATGTGCCTGCCTGTGGGTTGGGCAATGAGAAGGAAATGTAGCCAATGAGAAAATGTGGAGCAGACTGTATAGCCAATGAGAGGGCAGCACAGACAATGAGAACACTACAACATGCCTACCCCCCTGCTGTTCCATTTCTCTCCATCACCCTTCCCCTTTTCTCCATCACCCTTCCCCTTTTCTCCATCTGTCCCAAGAATGCCCAAAGGTTTCTACCCTTATCCTCCAGTTCTTCTTTTGGAGAACTGATCAGCACCCTGCCAGCTGAGGCCAACAGAGTGGGTTCTGGTGGTCAAGGATGTGATACCTGGGCCCCATCACCCTGTCAGGTGTGTCCAGACTGTGGCCTCAGAATTGAACACTCCTGGCTTACCTGGGCTGCACTCAGTGGAGAGGAATTGTTTTGGGCCACATAGAAACACTAGTGTGTCCAAGCTGCAGGGTGGACGTAGGACACACCCCATGCCATCCTCTGTTGGCCATTGTGTTCTTCTGCTGCTTGGCTATGACCCTTTCATTCTAGCGGACAATATTAGCTAATCTTGGTGTGGAGGTTAAATGGAAACGCTTGTTGCTTTTACACTCTCCCCTGCTCTGCTGCTGATACGTGGGAGTGCTCCCTTCCATCGACTTCTTTCCTGCCCCTTATTGCTCCCTGAGGTGTAGACTAGGGACAAGGCCACTGCCTTGCACAACCCTGTGGGGGAGCCCTTTACTATATCCTGTGCGAATGGCGCCCCCTGGCGGCGGACGTCCGCATTTTGAGTGAGGACGGTGGTGAGACGAAGGTTGCCACAGATGAGGGGCCAAACTGGACTTCCAGTCTCTGTTTGCGGGGAGAGGGCGCTGGAGACCAGCGCCCTATTTACAGCTCCAGGGGCTCGCAGCTGAGTACTGCACGCGGCTGCTTCATGGGAAGGATTGATTAGTGTGGGCTCCCAGCTGGGCAGGGCAGGGACCTTGCCCTGTTTGGGGTGGGGGAGTTCTCCCTCTTCATATAAAGGGACAAAGCTAGGTTCAAAGAGGAGATTAACAGCTCCTTGGCTTTGTGCCTCCTCCCCAGGGCCCTGTCAGGTGTGTGAGCGACAGCCACTGGCCCAGTGGATAAGTTTTGTTGGAATCAGTGCTACGAATGTCTATCAGGAAACGTCACAGCTGACTCGATTGTCAACTGGGACAAGTGATCAGCCATTCAAATCTTGGGCCCATAGATGGATTTAACAGAGTGAGAAGACGTGGGTGACGTAACATGCACTGGAATGAAAGATGCTTAGACTGTTTATTCCTTAACCCTCCGAGCTCAGCTTGTCAGGAAATGTTCCCTAGGGGGAGGACGGAGGTATTGCACGTGGGGAGATGAAGGGACTCTCTATGGGGCAGCCCAGGGGCTGAGCCGGCAGCTGCAGGAACTGAGATAGGAAGGAAATAATAAAGAGAGGCAGATAGGAGGTAAGTGTGTGAGATGTGTAAGAAATAAAAGGAGAAGGAAAATCTTGCAGCAAGGACAGGTTTATTTAGATAAAGACGGGAGAGGGGCCATTGGCTCTGAAGTGCTAAAGCTTCTCTCTCTTGCATTGTAAGGGTCTGTAAGGTGTGGAAGGGAATGAGAAAGTAGACGGACTGCTATTCTCGATCAGGTCTTTGAGTCCTGTGGTCACGGGTTGGCCTACTGTTCCTGACAGGTCTCTTGTTCAAGAGACTGAACGCCCCTTGATCTGGACTATTTTGTACAGTAAACAGATTTGATGGGCTTCGTAATTACGGGGCACAGAAGAATATAGGTAAGGGTCGCAATTCATGGGAAATCGTCCACTGGCTTTTCTTTTCAAAATGGCACACGGAGGGCAGTGATGCTGGTGATGCAGGCAGGAGAAAGAATTTACCAGGCAGGGATCAGAGTCAAGATAAGAGTTTAGCCAGGCCAGAGTACATGTCAAGGAGAGGAGTCTGAGTCAGGGGAAGAGATTAGGGTGTGGAAAAAGGGTCTAGGGGGCAAATATGATTATCTAAAGAATGTCCTTTTCCGATCCTCTAGCACCTTGTAGATTTTCCAGGAGCACCTGCATTGTGTTTAAAATTGTATGTTTGCAGTTGGCATTGGACAAGGCTGATTCCTCCCCTTATAGAAGGCCTATCAGCTGGAGGTGATGAGGAGGCCTAGATGCCGTCTCTTAGGGAAGGTGAGTCAGAATGCATGGGAGGAGGAGTGGGCCTTACATGGAAGGTTTGCAAAGTTTCCATCAGTGTGTGTTACCTGCCTGCCTGGACAGCTTCAGTGGAGCCTGCTTTTGAGGGTTTTAGCCCCTTTGCTGCCACTCATTGTAAAGTTTTACTTTTAAGAAAACTATAGCTTCAGGACACAGAGTTACTCAAGGTTACAATGACTTTTTTCTTTCAGGAAACTCCAAAACAAACAAACAAAATGCCTGCAAAGGGTCTTAGAGATACAGTCAGCCTGTAAACCAGGTCTGTGTTTAGCCTGTAAATTCAGCCTGCTTTTCCCCCCAGGCCTTCTTCATCCTCCAGGAAGCAGCCCTGCAACCGACACTGGAACCAGAGCTCTAAACCTCAAGTGCATCTAATCCAGCCCACCAAGTGGGTAACCTGACGCACAGGAGGAGTACACATCCCAGATCTCCTGAGGACACACCCAAAACCACACAAACTCCTTCAACCCAGTCCATAATGCACCTCACTATGGGCACCCACATCCCCTCCTGAGTGTGGGCTTCTTCACTCTGCCCAATAAACTTTTCTGTGCCTCTCCCTGTCATATCCTGTTGTTCTTTTCTGTAAGTCAAGAACTTTCAACCTACCCCACAGGTGAGGCGAACTGAGGTTCCCATCTCTCTTGGATGGTGGCCTTCCTTAGGCCCTGTCCAGTGACAGGAACAGGCCTTCCTGATTCCTGTATTTACTGCTAGGCAGTGTGAGCCATTGGACAAGCTGTTGATCTTCCTAAACGTAGTTTCCCTGTCTGTAAAATGGGGGATAACAGTAGATTCTACCCCCTAACACTGTTTGGAGGGTTAATGTTATTAGAGGTTAAGATTCAAACTGTTATCATGGGTGGTAGGGTCCGGAGACAGGTTTCCAGGTTCTCATGCATGATGAAAAATAATTAGACATAGGATGAAATGATAAAGAACAAGCAGCTAAGTTGAATGACTTTTTTTTTCATTAAGTTTATTGGTACATTTTAGGTATAAAATACAGTTACATTCATCATTGGGATCTTGTACCATTACATGAGTATCTTGGTTCTTATTTTTTCCCCTTCCCCTGCCCTCCCTTCACCCCCTCCACCCTTCCCTATTTGCAAATACTTTGTTTCCATTTTTTTTCCTTTTCTCATATTTTTTCTTTTCCCTTCTTTCCTTTCCCCTACCCCTCCCACTTCCCCTACTCCTTTAGATCTTTTCTTCCTATTACACAATGTCAATTATACATTTTTTAAATTACAGTATCAAGATCTAGAAGACATTACCACAGATTTTACAGAATTTAAAAGGATATAGAAAGCATATTACAAAAATCTAGTTGAATGACTTTTTTTTTTGGTATCGGGGATTGAACTCAGGTCCTTGCGCTTGCGCAGCAGGCGGCAAAAACCACTGAGCTAAATCCCTAGCCCTAAGTTTGAATGACTTTTAAAAGGTGAAGGTATACTCAGAGGAAGTGGGCTTGTGCTAAAAGGAAAATGTCATGAGCCCTCGAGGACATTGGCCTGAAGAATTTGAAGTGTTGCTCCAGGGCTTGGGTGCTTCCCATTAAATCTTTCAGAGCATGATTGACAATGTGATTGGCAGGGTGGTGAGTCATGTCAGCTGTATCTACTGTGCATGTCCTTTCCCATAATTTACTGTTATGATTGGGTGTATGAGATGCAGTCCACGTGTATGAGCTTTTAGCGAGCTCTAAGTGAAGAAAGGTCATTGTAGGTCATGCCAGCAGGCCTAGTACTCGTGTGCCCTTGTTTGGAGTTTTGGAAAACTTCAGGGGCCTTTGTTATTCTTATCCCTGTCTCTAGGTTGTGGGTTTAGGACAAAGGTCAGGGTGGTTGGGCCCGGGACACTGCTCAAGTTCATTTGAGTAAGAGGGCAGGGATCTCACAGCCCCCAGTTGTGTTATCTGTATTACTGCTGCCTTCCACTCCCCCAAAACAGGAGACAGAATTTTGGTGAAAGGAAAAGGCTTATTTAACACTACCTCTGCAGGAAAGGGGCCTTTGCTGCTTCAGATCTTCCTGCCCACCCAGGCTCAGGTGTGGGAAGGGTTTTTATTGTGAGTGTCTCGTGGCAGGATGAGCGTCTAGCCTGGATCGAAAACTCAGCACCAGTAAATGAATTAGAGGGATGGAGTTTAAGAAAGGAAGATGCTTTCTTTGTAAGGAGGAAAAAGTAGACGGGAACAAGTTGGCCCTGAGAGAGGGCAGGGGGCCTGGGAAAAGACGGATGCCCATGAGGCTTTGTCCCTGGTTTCTTTTATTAGGAATAGGGACCTTTCCTCCTAGGTGGGTACCTGTAACTTGTCACAGTCTGACTGGTTTTCTGGGCTGTCTTTGGAGGGGTCCTGGATTATAAGACCCTAACCGGGCCCCATTGCCTTTATGCACATTCCTCTTGGTGGGCTTTGTTTGATTTTCTCTTGCCCTTATTGTTGTCAGGGCCTTATCTCTGGGATTTGTAGGTTGGTTAGGAGGAGCTTTATAGAAAAGACAGCTTAGGGCTGGGGATTTAGCTCAGTGGCACTGTGCCTGCCTCACAAGCATAAGGTCATAAATTCAATCCCTGATACCAGGAAAAAAAAGAAAGAAAGAAAAGAAAAGAAAAAAGAAAAGACAGCTTACAGTTAATGATTAAGGGGATGCATGTGTATCTAGTCCAGTAATATAGTGACCCTAGAGTGAAAATGCACACACACACAAGTGTGTGTGTGTTTGTGTATTTTTATATACTAAATGAGAGGTTTTTAAAAAAAGTTAGGTAGCTGCCACTTGTCTCCTTTGGTTCTTTTTTTTTGGTACTGGGGATCAAACTTAGGACCTTGCGCTTTCGAGGCAGGTGCCAGAACCACTGAGCTAAATCCCCGGGCCTCCTTTGCATTTTATTGGAGCTGAGGGGGCATTTGTCCTGGTTTCCACTTTCTGGCTTCCTCCGTGCTCGGCCTATCAGCTTTTCCTCTGGTAAATCTGTTAGAGAGCAAGCCTTCCTTAGTTGTAAATTCTTCTACGAACTGTACTATCTGGTGCCTTTCTAAATCTGGTTTCTCTTTTTCTCTATCCCTCTTTACCTCTTTCCTTTTAATTACTCTTAAAGGAATTCCTCTAGTAAGTTTTTAACTCCTTTAGTCAGGGTTAGCTACTGAATCTAACTGCAGAGGCAAAAGTGGCTTTTAGAAAGATTTTCTACTAATTTCTTTAATAAAGCCTAATGAGGCCTGAGGTGGATTAACTAATGGTCAACTGGGAACACTCAGCTGAACAGAGTCAGCATGGTTCTAGGAGTGGAAGGCCCACCTGAGGATTGTAGCCAATGGGATAAAAAGAGAAGTGGAGGGGAAAATCGTAGACTGTTGATTTTCCGGGGGAGGCTTGCCTTGGCTGGTTTTCCTGATGCGAACTTGGCTGTTCTCGTGGGAGGAGGAACTCAGGTCCTCACTGTCTCTGGGAATGGCTGCTGTTCTCGTCAGGGGAGCTCTGATCTTCACCCTGAGCATCGCTTCCTGGCTCCAGTGCAGATCCCTTGGCTTGGTGGCACAAATCCTTCAGCCTGCTGAAGAAAGCTTTCTAGCTTCCGCCAATGGCCTTTGGGCCTTCCTGGTGCAGATCCTCAATATGGACAAGTAGGAGACATTGCCGTGGGACTGGACTGGCTGGACTCGTGGAGGACACTGCATTGGGCTCTAGGCCTCAGGCCAGGCTTATGCTGGACATCATCATGGTGGGATCCAGGCCCTGGATTCTTCGCGTCTCTAGCGTGTGGACAGATCTCTTGCCCTCCTCTGCATTTGACTTTTTGGGTGACTATTATAGAATAATCCTGTAAATTATGTGGCCTGTATTAAACCTATTCCTTTGCAAACCCTGACTATAACAAAGGCCTTATTCTCTTCTTTCCCTGCCTACAGACATCTATCCTTACATGATGAAGAGGACACCTGAGGTAATGGGCAAGGAAATTCTTGCACTGGGCAGAGGATCCTTAGAATGTGCAGTTCTGTTTAGCGGCTGTTTTCGGCTCTCCTCTTATCTCATGGAGGTGAAAAGAAACTGGACCTTGAACTCCTGGCATCTTTTCAGACTCTGTGCATCTGAGCTGGGGGGAGGTGGCCTGTTACAAAGACTTCTCTTTAGAAAAGAGAATACAAAAAGGAATTAGAATACAAAATGAGTAAAGAATCATACAAGAAAAGAAGTTGGGGAAGGGAGGGAGCTCTATTGACAACTTGACAACGTTTATTCTTTCCCTTTAGGGAAAGATCGGTTACATTAGCACTCCTGGAACAGGCGCCTGTGGGCTGAGGAGGGAACTTGCTGGGCACCAAGATCATGTGGTCAGCACCCTACAGCATTCAGTTGCCTCCTTGGGTTCAGGTCCCAGCTTCTCCATTTGCTGGTGGCTGTAACTTTGAGCAGAGGGCTCTCTGAGTCTCTGTTTTCTCTTTTGTTGTGTTGATGGGATGAAACAAGCCAGGTGAAGCACAGGAGGAGGTGTTCGCCAGATGTTCAGGAGCAGGATTTTTGCCACCTCCACTTCCTCCAGTGACTATCAGAGTCACTCACACCAGTGTGTTTGGGCAGAGAACTATTTCCAAATGCCAGCCAGTTGTGAAACCCTTGGTAGCTGAAAATCGGCCATGGTGGCTTACACTACAGAACTAGCAAACACTGGGCCAGGGATTTAGCTCAGTGGTGCTGCTGCCTGCCCCGAAAGCACAAGGCCCCGAGTTCGATCCCTTGTACCAAAAAAGAAAAAAAGAAATTGGCAAACACTACAAATTACAGCTTGTAAGTTTTTTCAGAGTTAATTGAATAACACGCCCCTGCCCCTGCTCCTCTGTTCCCAGAGGTCTTTCCTTGTCCCTACTTCTTCACTGAGACCCAGAGCAGTCTCTTTGAACTGTCTTCTACATGTTGCCATATGCAGGCCTGAGATAGGAGATTAGGGTGGGGGAAACTGGCTGAGTGAGTGGGCGTGGCCTGTCGATTGTGGAGACCCAGAACACTTGGGCAGAACAAAGTTCCCAAACCCTGCACCTGGGACCAATCAAAAAGTGCTATCTTCAATTCTTCATTTACATCCGGTGTGAAACCAAGCAGGCTTTTGATAGGACAGCCTAGGCCTGACGTCAGCTGGAGGAACAGGATGCAAAAGACCCGCTATTAACCTTGTTGCTGCTGTGGACTTTCTCAGTGGCCTGCTCTTACTCTGCAGAGTGTATTTCTTTTTCCCACCTTTAATAATTGCTCAGAGGGCCGGTGATTTTGCTTAGTGGTTCCACCGCCTGCCTCACAAGTGCAAGGTCCCAAGTTCTATCCCGGGTACTCCCCAAAATAAATAAATAAATAAATAATTGCTCAGCACCTCCTCAGAAAACCTCTCTGGAGCTCTGCGGCTCCCAACACTTCTTGTCCCCCCTCCCAGGCTCCCTCTTTGCTGTATCCCTGACTGTCCTCTCACACTGGCTGATAACTTGCTCATCTGCCTCACTGGCTGTCTCCTGAGGGCAGGGACTTGATCTTGTTCACTGATATGTGCACCCAGCACAGTTTGCGGCGAGCAGAAGGTACTCAGTTGATAGATAGCTCTGAAGTGGGTGACCTTGACTGACCAAGTTCACCAGCTCCATCCTAAGCACCCCCGAAATTCCTGGCCTTCTCTTTCTTTCCTAGTAGTCACTTCCTTACCTCTCCTCCCAGCTCCTCTGGCCTCTCCTAAAAGTGCTCCCCTAGGGCTACTTTGCTGCTTCCTCTTCTGTGGACACAGAGCCTAGCAGCCCTGCACACTGTGGTGAGAGTGTCCGATGGTGCGGCCACTGCCTGCCACACCTCACTAGCTCAGGAGAAGAGCGGAATTCTAACCTCAAAGTCTGGCTTCGACTAAGTGCGTGCTGCTTTCACACCGTCAGAAAGTTTTGAAGTCCCAAGTGAAGGGTCATCTGTAAAGGCAAATTTAGAAACAGTCACCATCAGCAAAGTTCTGGCCCCATACAAGGCAGCCACACACCCCAGGGCTCCCCATTCTTGCCTGGAGCAGGGGTTTCCTGGTGAGGAATTGCTGGCAGGAAGGGAAACTGAAGAAAATCAGGCATCCTTGCAGGTTCTGACTACCAGGTGGCTTCCGCACAGTGGGGCCTGGGGATGGGTCCCACGTTCCCTCCTGCCCCTCCTGGGGTGGGGGTGGCCAGTTTGTGGTGGTGAATATAAGCAGTTCTGTTCACATGGATATTGTTGCCAGAACTGTGTGGTTTCTAGATCTTGTGTGAGGATGAGGTTCACATTTTACCTCTCTGGCCTTGTCTTGTTCGCATGCCCTCAAGCAAAATTCCACACATCACACAAAGCTCGTAACAGGTGACAGCCCTTTTCTTTCCCTTTCCACAAAAGGAGGGGCCTGGGTGGAGACAATTTTTAAAAATGCAAATGGAATATTAGCCAGTTTTTTGGAAGGATCGTTGGGGGTGGGGTGGGAGTGGGAATGTGTCGTTGATGAGGTGACAGAGGTTATATTTCTGAGCCCGAGTCACAATCTGAGCTTGATTCTGTGTTCCAAGTCTACGGCCCTTCTCCACCTTCCCTGGGCCCCCACAGGCTACTTGTATTACTCATGTATTTTTTTTTTTTGTACCAGGAATTGAACTTGGGGACTTGAGCTTGCGAAGCAGGCAACAGAACCACTAAGCTAAATCTCTGGCCCTATTACTCATCTATTGCTGGGAAATGATGACTCCAGAATTTAGTAATTTAAAACCATAAAATAGTTTTTAGGTCTGACAGTTACTTTGGATCAAAAATCTGGGCTTAGCTTAGCCGTGTGATTTCCCTCAGATGCAGTCATGCTGCGGGGCTGAGGCTGCAGTGTCATCCTGAAGTTCAGTGTGGAATGGTAGGGGCGGGGCACCCCGTTTCCCAGTCCCTCAGATGGTGTTGGCTGTTGGCAGGCAGCTTCTACCAGGGCCAGGGATGCAAGAGAGAGTGGGAGAGAGGTCTCACATGGGAGAAGTGATCTTTGTAACCTAATTTCAGAAGTGACACCTACCACACTCTGCTGTATTCTACTCATTAGAAGTGTCATTTGGAACTGGGTGTGGAGGTGCAAACCTGTGATCCCAGCACTAGGGAGGCTGAGGCAGGAGGATCACTGTGAGTTCAAGGCCCGCCTGAACTACATAGGGAGACCCTATCTCAAAGAAAAAAACAAGCGAGTCATTTGATACACCCACACCCAAAGGGAGGGACTTAAATAAGGGCCCAGATATTGGGAGGCAGGAATCATTGGTTCTCGTCACTTCTCTATAGTGAAGGAATTGTAATACACGTTTTATTTCCAAAAATGTAATTAGAAAAACTCACGTGGATGCCCAATGATCCTGAGGTGTCTCTGAGACTCAGATTCCCACAAGAATGAACTAGTCTCTTCTTCTCAAAGTGAATCTGGATTACATAAAATCTTTTTTTTCGCTTTGGTATTTCACAGTTTCATTAGGTCTAGATGTTCATTTCATTTCTTCTTCTTTTTTTTTTTGGTACTGAGGATCGACCTCAGGACCCTGCGCTCACCAGGCAGGCGCTGTGCCGCTGAGCTACATCCTCGGCCCACTTTTTTTTCTCAGTAACTGGACTTCCCTGATGTTTGAACTAAATCAGTCTGGCAAAGGGGAGCAAAATGGGACTTTCCAAGTGACAGAATATCCTGTCACTTCCTTGTAAAGTTTTCTTTGTAACCTAAAATATTTCAGGTGAGTTTTTCCATGCTACAGCAAAGTCCAAAGCGGTTCTCACTTCCGTTTAGTGATTGTTGTTGGGCAACTAAAGTAGACAAGGGCTCTAATCGTAGGCAGCTGCGCCACCTACTGTGCCACTGTGAAATTGCACTTTCCTTTTGTGTACTGAGCATGTCCGCATCAGGTATACACATACTACTGGACAACGTCATACCGACAAAGGCAGAGGCACTGTGTGCACGGGAAACTTAAGAAAGATTCAAGGCTAATTTGCACTACCCACAATTTCCACTTTATTTTACCTTTATTAGGACTCACAGTCTTTTCTTTCAGCACATTAAAAAAAATTGTGCCACTTCCTGCCAGACTTCATGGTTTCTCATATCGTTGTTTCTCCATAAATAACACATTAGTGCTGCGTATGGCAGTTCACACATGTGATCGTGGCGCTTGGGAGGCTGAAGCAGGAGGATCGCTGCATATTTGAGGTCAGCCTGCACTATATAGTGAGTTCAAGGCCAGGCTGAACTGCGTAATGAGATCCTGGCTCCAAAAAATTGTTTTTTTCTCTATGCTTTCAAGACTGTTGTTTTTTTTGAGACAGGGTCTCACTATGTAGCCTAGGCTGACCTCAAACTCACAGAGCCTCCCTGCCTCAGTTTCCTCGGTGCTGGGAAACAGGTGTGTGCCACCATGCCCATCCAGAACTTTTTAAAATTGTTTTTGGTTTTCTAGCTTAATTATGGATCTGGGCATGGATTTCTTTGGAAAGGCTTGCTGGCACGGTGGAATGAGTCATGTGTGACTGTGGTTTTTCAAGGGGGAAGGTCTGCAGCTTTCATCCAGGGTCACGCAACTTTCACTGCATTATCAAAGGCACCCGGGACTCGGAGGCTGTTAGCAACCAGTGGCCTCTGCAGAGTTGTTGGAGGTGGCTGGAGGGCATAGGGAGCTCAGGGGTATCTGGGGTTTGAACAGCTGTGCATGCTGAAAGGAGTTCCAACTTCCCTGGAATTATTTGTCCACTTGTGTGGTTCCATCCACTTGACAGGAATTCCCTTAGGGTGGGGAGCTGAAGGGTTAGTGTCATAGGGATGGTGGAAGTCATCAGTGAACACAAGGGCCTTCAGAACCCAGAGGAGTGGTGAAGAACACAGGCTTCGGCCCTGGGCGGGGGTCTGAATCCCGTCCCCTTCTGAGCCATGGGGCTGGAAAGTGATCTTATGTCCTCCAGTCTCTGTTCCTGACTGTGTGCCATGAGGATGACAATTTGGATTCACTAAGCTGCTCAGTCCAGGGTATTCATTCACAGAATGTTTACACCTACCATGTGCCAGGCACTGTTCTAGGCTTTGGACATTGAATGGGAAATTAAAATGAAACAGACAGGAATCTCTGCCCTCTGGAAGCTGGTGTTAGCAGTGGCAACCAACAAATACTGGAAAGTAGAGAGCACGTCAGATGATGACGGTTCAGAGAGAAATAAACACACCTGAGATCTGGGCTGGGAGCTCCTGGGAGCGGAAAGGGTGAAGCCTTTGTCCCACGGATGCCCTGAGGAGATGAACAGGAGTCTGAGGGGACACTTTGGGGCAGATAGAAAAGCAAGTGCAAAGGCCCGGAGGCAGGAGTGTGCCCCAAGGCTTTGCAAACCGTGAGGATGGAGTGGAAGGAGTGGGGGGATACTGGGCGGTGAGGGCAGAGTGTAGGGTGGAATCATGTGGGGTCTTGTGGGCCACTACTTGTCACCAAGTTCCATATCAAGCATGCTCTGATCTCACGGCATATTTATAATCAGTGAGCTTGGCACCCAGCCTGATTCTGCTAAGTTCTGGGTCACTGGCCATTATTGTTGTTTTTTTTTTTTTTTGCCATTATTGTTTTTGTTCTTAGCATTGCTGTTGGCATCGCAATATTAGTTCCTGGTTCTCAGGGCTCTTGGAATTCCCTCTCTCTGTGCTGGCTGGAAAAGGAAAGTGAGACCCAGGGGTGAGGTGCAGAGGTGAGGCCAAAGTTCCTTCCCTGCTGCTACCCCCGTCTCTGTGGAGCCACTGTCAGCTGTCACCATAGGGTGTGTGACTTTGCTGCAGGGTGGGAGGGGAGAGCCAGGAGGCAGTGAGGCCGCAGCGGGAGTGGAGACTGAGTCTGAGAGGGAGCTCTGGAGTCAGACAGCCTGGCACGCTGTGGACCCATGGGCTTGGCTGCTTTATGGAGCTGCTGGTGGACAGGAGTCCTGCTCTCAGGTGAGGGCTCTGCTTCCTGCTGACGGGGTGGGTGGGTGGAGGGCACTGTGTGTGTGTGTGTGTGTGTGTGTGTGTGTGTGTGTGTGTATTTACAGAGAGGCAGAAGGAGAAATAGAGACAGAAGTAAAGACAGATGCAAAAGAGATACACACAGGAGAAGGACACAGAGACAGACAAAGATACAAAGAGAGATGGAGAAAAAGAATGAAAATAATGGTAGAGACTCTACCAGAGGGAAAAGCAGGGTGAGATATAGGAGAGGGAGGGAGAACACACAGAGACAACATGAAAACAGCACCAAGTCACTCAGAGAGAAACAGAATAAGAGGGAGGGAGGAGAGAGAGATGGGTGCAGACAGAGCCAGGGGACAGCAGACAGACAGGAGTGAGGCAGGCAGAGGGTGTGCTGACCCTGCGTGTTCCACACAGCAGGATGGGATGGAGATGAAATTCGCGCCTAAAGAACATCTGAGACAGAGGGGAGAAACTAGAATATTTTGATAAGGCTCTTTGGAGGAGGAGAACTGAATTTGCACTTGGTTAGGGGCAGAGATGAGGCCAGCCTGGCCTGTGACCCTGAGACTAGTTCCCCCTCTCTGGGTCAGAGCTTCCTCATTGAGGGGAAAACTGCAGACTCCAATGTCCTCCTGAGGCCAAGGGTTATCGGCTGTGTCTGCACTTTTCTCTGCAAGCTTGGCCTCTGCCCCGGGGACGGGGACAGAAGTCAGGGCCCGGGAGAAGGAAACAGGAGGGAAGGGGCCAGGCAGGGGCCTGGAGGAGGAGGCTTCTCTGTCTCTCTGATGAGGAGACCGGCCGTGCCAAGGACGCTGTCCTTCACGTTATTCCGTTTATCCTCATGACAGTTATTTGAGGCTGGAACTATGTTTACTCTCAGTCTACAAATGGAGATGCAGATTCAGAGAATATCATTTGCCCAAATAGGTGACAAAGCTAGGGGTCAAATCCAGACAGTTGCTCCAAGCTTAGACAGTGGCCCTGAACTCCCACGGCACCGGGGATGGAGAAACACAGATGCCACCAGTGCTGCCACCACCATGGTCACAACGGTGACTGAACCCTGACTGGGAGACATTTTGAGCATGTCATATCTGATGTGTCATTCATACCTCACAACAACCCAACGAACTAAGTTCTCCTGCTTTTCCCATGTGCAGATGGAGATGTGGAGGCTCAGAGAGAAAGCTCTTGGCCATGACAATGGGGCCGTAAGCATCAGGGTCCACGTTTCCTCCCAGACTCCTGGGAGCCACTGCCCTACACCACGGACGGGCAGGAAGTAGGCAGTGCTTGGCTCAAATAGGAGTCTTGAGGGGTGGAGAGGGTTTCAGATTGGGTTTCAGAGAGATAAGGGGTGAGCAGCTTAGCTGCACATAAGCATGGTTGTTGGGATTGGGGCCCCACCTGCCCAAGCCCACCCTCCATGACTGTGTGCAGAATGACCACATGGGAAACTAGGAACTACTGTGACCTTGTTCTGCTTTCCCTCCCGTCCCATGCATGGCAAATATCCCGAGAGTAAATCCGAGGAAGTACAGAAGGCTAATTTCTCCCACTGGAAGTTCCCGTTGATCAAGTTTGGCTCCATGCCCATCCCTGGGTTGATGGGAGGAACTATACCATCTTTGGGGCCAGGAGGGCCAGGTTCAAACTCAGCTCCTGCCATTTACTATGTGCTCTTGGCCTTGGAGCGCCTGTTTCCTTTGGTGTGGAATGAGGAGAACTGCCCTGCATCCCCAGTAGAATGAAAACGGTGAAGAGGACACAGTGACCACAGCCCAGCTGCTGCTTGCCAATATTTATTACCAACCCAACGACACTAGAATGCAGGCCATCTTAGGCTCATTTTACAGAGGAGGAAATTGAGACTCGGGGAGAATAAAGATACATCCAAGGTCACATAGCCAGTAAGTAGCAGATAGGACAAGTCTCTGTGATGGGACGCCACATTTGTAACCACAGACTTCTCTCCACTTCTGAAAACTGTGGCTGACCACTGTAACTGGCCCCAACTCACCTGCCCCTCCCTGAACACTGACTGCTTTTCTCTCCATACAGCCTCACTGTTGACCATATGGAATCTCCCAGCCGAAGCTCAGCTTGCCCTCCAGGCCGGCCCACCTAACACCCAAAGTGAGAAGGATATTTGTCTATGTTTGAAACCCCTGGGTACTCCAGACTTGTGGAAGATTCAGAGGATGGACACAGAGAACAAGGCTGTTATTCTGATCGCTGCCTACCCAGAGATCTGTCTTGGGGTTCCCTACCCCAAGTCCCAGGAGGATGAACCTATTGGTCCAGCTGAGGCCTCCAATGATTGGTCCAGTCTGTTGTATTGGGGACAGGAGCAAAGGGGTGGACTGTAGCTGTATGGTAGAGGCAGGGAAGGATGGCTGAGAAGTGGGTAGAGGGTTCTTGCTGGCATCTTTGTTATGAGCTTGATCCTCTTTGAAGGTGATATTTATTGACCCCTTCTTATGGCTCAGACTCTCTGCTGTACTCACACAGGGGGCTTGGAGAGGGGAAGTAAGTTACATAAGGTCACTTAGAACAAGCAGTAGGCCCAGCCTGTGAGCCCAGGCACTCTAGCTCCAGAATATCTTCTGGCTATTCCAGTCTCTTTCTGTTTCTCTGGATCCCTTTGTGACTATGTCTTATTCATCTTCTATCCATGCCTCTGCCTCTGTTTACCTCCCTTGCAGAATTGCTGGCCAAGCCCACCATTTCAACCAGCCAGGGTATTGTCATAGAGCACAGGGGAGTGGTGACCTTCCGCTGTTACACTGTGAACATCAATGTCTCTATCCACTGGGTCTCCAACAATATCCCCCTTGTGTTAAATGAGCGCATGCAGCTGTCTGCAGATGGCAAGAGCCTCACCATCTTCACTGTCCAGCGAGAGGATGCAGGGATTTACCAATGTGAAGTCTGGGGTGCCTCTGAGGTCCAGAGCAGTGACATCACCCTTCTGGAGGTGTACTGTGAGTCTCCTTCCATTCTCCCCAGCCCCTTCCTTGGCCCCTTGTTCAGTCTCACAGCTTCGAATCCCATCTAAACCCAGACTTGTCTGCCTTTGAACCCCAGATAGATAACTATTTGATGCCTCTGCTTGGATTCTACTGGAAACATCCAATTAATGGGTCTAAACCTGAGATCCCAAACCTCAAATGTTTCGATCCACATTCTTGCCTGGGTAGGGTGAGCAAAGAGCTGGCATACTTTAGATGTGTCTTCTAATCGTGTTTCACCCAGGCACAGGGCCAACATTTAGCCTCCTTTGCAATTGGCCCAGAGCTTGAATGGGGAGGAGGGAAATATAGTGTTTACTGACTCCCTAAATCCTTTGTAAAAGAGCTGTTGCAGATGCTATTGTCATTACTATGATTGTTCTTGTCCTCCCAGATGGTCCTGACCCTGTTGAGATCAAGGTGGATTCAGGCATCCTCAGGGGGGGCGTAGTTGAGGTGACAAAGGGCTCCACTGTGAACTTCCAGGCGGAAACACAGAGTTACCCTGCTGCCACCTATACCTGGTACCTCCCCAATGACTCTATCCTGCCTCCTACCACAAGAACACTTACCATCCCTGCAGTGTCTGGGAAAGATGAGGGCATCTACAGGTGCCTGGTGTTCAACAGTGCCACCCACATGTCCCACCTGGGCGCTCTTAAAGTCCTCGTCCTTGGTGAGTCTTCCTTCCTATTTCCTGTCCTGGTTCCCCTGAGAATCAGAGGCTGTCATGTCCAGAAGGGCCCGGAGCTTCATCTGGGGCTTTTGTACACCCTGGGATCCCTGAATGGGTTGTTCAGGTTGCACACAAAATGTTCATGCTGTGTTCTAGAGAAAGGGTCAGTGGTTATCATCAGATTCTCAAGGGGGGCTGGAACTTGGAAAAATGTGAAGAGCCACTGAGCAACAACAACAGCTCAGTGTCCAAGAAGGACCCAGAGGAGTGGGGATTTCCTATCTGGCTGGGGGCTGAGCGGGCAGTGACCTTGGGGAAGGGCCTGGCGCCGGGCATGGCACATCCTCCACCAGACTGCTGGCTCTCTACAGGGTCCATGAACTGATCCTCTGGAAGCCAGGGGGCTGACAGTCTGTGCTTCTAAACACTAACACAACACTCCCACACTGCGCACACACAAAGAATAACCACACCTGCACATTTAGAACACAACACAACACAAATCCTCGTGACATGTGCACAATAGACCCAACACACCCAGCACAAAGCGTCTAACACATCAGGGACATACAACACTTACACACACTGTACACTCACACTCACAGCACACACCCTGTACACTCACATATTCATAACACATATACAACACATCTGACATACATGCACAACACAGACACGCCTCTCACATACATGACACTACAAATCATACTCACAGACATGAAACACTCTCACATAGAACATATATGCTCATAACAGAGACACAGTTTGTACACACCACAGACACTTACTGTCTATCCAACCTCACAACCAGTCAGCATCATAGATACTTAAGAAACTACTCAAAAAACACACCGTATCCCACACATTCAACACCTCAACATATGTAACATACAACTGACAAAAATATACACATGAAATGGATACACATACCACACGCAGTACAGGCACAAACAAAACATAAAAGATAACACACAATGCATACATATTATATATACAGTACCACAGACATAGAACATACACACATGTACAGAGAATTCATACATGTGTAGCACATTCACACACAAAGTGCACACAAGTACGTGTACTACCTACATAGCTCACATTTTCGAAACACATATAGCAGATATAAAATACACAAAATACATATACACACCACCCAGTCTACAGCCACACAAAACCTACAATGTAGTCACACCATCAGTACATGTACTCATCCACAAAAGACACCCACATCTCACACACACTGCACAGTTGTAGCTGAAGCACACACAGATCCAGCCCTGGGGAGGCTCCGTGGGGCTCATGGGCAGGAAGCTGGGAGGCACCCCTGAACCTGGCCCTGTATCTCCAGCGTCCCAGCAAAGTCTGGCCAAGCCTTGCGTGGTGTCCCCAAGCATGGATTTCGTGGAGAACACCAGCTCCGTGGCCCTGACCTGCCAGTCCACCTATGAGGGGATCAGCGTCCGCTGGTTCCGGGAGGGTCGGGCCCTCCTGCCCAGTGAGCGCCTGGTGCTGTCAACGGACAACAGAACCCTGGTCATCCATAGTCTCCAGCGGGATGACACAGGCCCTTACCAGTGTGAGATCTGGACCTGGGACAGAGAAGCATGGAGCGACCCCCTCTGGCTGACCATCAACTGTGAGCTGCTTGCGTCTTCCTCCTCCCTCTCCCATCTCTCTTCAGGTTCTTCTGGTGGTTCATCCTGCTGTTACTGAGAGCCTGGCCTGTGCCAGGTGTGAATGTGGGCACGGAACACCACCTAGTGCCCTCCTTGGTGGGGGTGGGGGGGAGCAGACAGGCTGTAAACGGATGGACAGGAGAGACAGGTGTAAGAGATAAGACCCTCTAAGGCTATGGAGAACTGGGGGGCATGGCAGGGGACTGGGGGTGTACCAGGACGGGGAAGGTGTCGCCGCCTTAGCCAGGGGCCAGGGGTTTCCTGAGGAGGTGATGTTCGTGCAGATGCAGAAGGTGGTGAGGGCAGTTCTGGGAGGCTGAGGGAGAGGATCGCAAACTCAACCCCAGCCTGGGCAACTTAGTGAATCCCTGTCTCAAAATAAAAAAGGGCTGGGGACATAGCTCAGTGGCAGAGAGACCATGGCTTTGATCCCCAGCAACACACGCACACACACACACACACACACACACACACACACACACACGGAGGCGAAGGAGCAAGCAAGCCTGGCAGGTGGCTGCGGGTACAGAGCTCCCGCTCCGGGGGAGGCAGCAGCATGTGGAGCGGGACAGCGCTGGGCTTGGGAGGAACCACAGGAGGCCGGAGAGGCTGAAGTGGGGGAGGGAGAAAGGAGAAGAGGTATCCAGGGAGGAGGAGGGCTGGGAGCCAGGTCGCACAGCTCCGCTGGACCAGGAGGGCACTTGAGCTGCAGGAGGCTCTGGAACAGGGACAGGACAGACAGACAGACAGATCTTCACAGGGCCTCACCGGCCCAGCTACAGAAAGGGAAAGACAGGAGCAAGAGAGGTGGGAGAGGTCAGAACAGGGCTGTGGTTATCTGGGTCCTTGGCCACGTAGCCCCAGGCATGGATCAACAGCACCATCCATGGGAGGATTTTATTCTGAGAGAGGCACCCTGGAGGGGAAGCAGGGAAGCGGCCACAGAAGGCTGGGAATTCATCAGACTGAAATGTGCATGGGGGAGAGGGGGGAAAGGCCAGGAGAAAGCCCCCAGACAGTCATGCATCTAAGGACACCTGACAAATCTGCAGAGCCCTCCGCATCTCCCAGAACAGGATCTGCCTCAGTTTCCCCCTGAACCCAGGAACTGGCCAGGGCAGCCCATGGGAGGACTGGGGTGGATTTCAGGACCCAGCAAGTGATCTTGGCCAGTTACACTGCTGCCATAGGGGGTCTTGGGGGTTTCTCACAGTGGCCCTGGTTGTTCCAGAGGGTGATGGGGGCTGGGGGTGGCTGCAGAGTATCAGACTCCTGGGACTTGCTGCTGCTCCACAGGAGGCCAAGGAGGAGGCTGTGGAAGCCATGAGTTGAGCCCGAGGAGGTGAGGGAGAAGGGCCCCCTTTTGCCTGTGTGAGGTAGCGGGGCTTACAGGGATGGGCTAGGCTCAGGTATTTTCTCTCTTTCCCCTTCTCTGTTGCTCTCCCCCCTTTCCTGCTTACCTCAGTTGTTAAACCAAAACTGTTTGGAGCTGAGGAACAAGCCAGGCGGTTGCTAATCAGAGGCTGATGTCAGCACCCACGGCCTCCAGGGGACAGGGACTCAGCAAGTACCGCGCAGTGTGGTGACCACTGCCAGGGCAAAAGGAGGATTTGGGAACCCAGAGGAAGCCCCAGGCTGGAGAATGTGGAAGGGGCACCGCCAGAGGCAGAGCATTACAAAGAAAACTCCCCAGACTCATACCATGAAGGGTCCACAGTATGAGTAGGTAGGGGCCATGCGCACACCTCATGGTGACAATTGTGGAATCCTGCTGCTGTGCGAGATTTCTTTGTTAATTCACTGTGGCGCCGGAGTGACAGTGCATACCTGTGATCCCAGCGCTTGTGGGAGGCTGAGGCAGGAGGGTGGCTGTGAGTTTGAGGCCAACGTGGGCTACATGATGAGTTCAAGGCCAGCCTGAACTCCCCCACTCACACAAAAGAATTCACTTTGGCAAAGACAGTTTTTGTCCCTTGGTGTGGACCACAGTCTGCTTGTTGGGCAGCGCAGGAGGAAAAGAGAACGTTTTCTCTTTCTCCTTCTGAGATTCCTTTCAGCCTCAGGTAGAAGAGCCTCTGTCTTCCAGCTGCAGACTGGGATTGCCTTCGTTCCAGTGCAGGAGGAATAAACGAACATATAAACAAGCCAAAAAGCCAACTGTGCACTGTGGAAGCAGAGGGGTGAAGGGGGTCTCGGTGGTCCACCTGTGTGGGGTGTGTGACTTCACCTCTGCCCGCAGACGGCCCAGACCGAGTGGACATCACCAGGGACACGGTGTCAGTGGTGCTCAGCACCGTGGAGGTGAAGCTCGACTCCAACCTGACCCTGCAGTGTTGGGCTGAGTCCCAGCCGGGCGCCCAGTACTGCTGGAGCTGTGAGCACCTGGGTGGGGAGTACACGGGGGGACAGCTGGTCATCACCGCCGTGACCTGGGCGCACCAGGGCGCCTGCAGCTGCACAGCCTCCAACCCTCTGACCGGCCTGGCCCGCTCAGCCTCCATCCTGGTCCACGTGGTGGGTGAGTCTTCGGGCCCTGGGAGTCGCTGTCCCCTGGGATCCCAGCTCCCAGCCTCCCCGAGGCAGGGGCCGGAGTGTGACTGTGCGTGAAGTGCGTGGGTCGGGTCCCAGTCTAGAGCCACCAATCCCCACCCCGAGTGCCCAGGCCCTACAGCCCCTCCTTGTGCTGTGCACCTTGGCCAACTCCAGGCTGTGCTGAGCCTCGGCTTTCTTTCGTGTGAATGAGGTTTACAGCTGGGTGGTGGCGCACACCTGTAAATCCTAGTGCTCTAGGAGGCTGAGGCAAAAGGATCACAAGTCCTACTCCAGCACGGGCAACTGGGTGAGACGCTGTCTCAAAAATAAAAAATACAAAAGGGCTAGGGATGTAGCTCAGAGCAAAAGCCCTAGGGTCAATCCCTAGTACCAGAAGAAGAAGAAGAAAGATAGAGTTTTGAGAGACTACCTTTCGGAGTTATGTAGAAGGACAAGTCGCAGATACAGTGAGCAGAGAGGAATCACTGGACGCAGCCTGCAAGGGTTCCCTGTACTTCCGTGCTGAGCACTCGAGAGACAGCATGGTGTTGCTGTTCACCATGATCCACACCCTGGCTTCAGTGCTTATTAGCTGTGTGACCTTGAACAGGCTCCTTAACCTCTCTGAGCCTCTGATTAATTAGCTGTAAAGCAAACATAACAATTGTGCCTATTTTTAAGGGTGTTGAGGACTAATTAACATTTATAAAGTTCTCAGAGCTGTTCCTGGCATACTGTGTTCATTAAACAAATACAATTATTCTCGGGTTTGGTTTTGGTTTTTTTTTTGGTACCAGGGATCGAACTCCAGACCTTGCACTTCCAAAGAAGGCGGTGGAACCACTGAGCTAAATCCCTGGCCCTTTACAATTACTCTTTACTGAGTCTGTGCCATATGCCTGAGCCAAGCCTCCCAAGTATAAATCAATAAGCACTTTGTGGGTTTTCTCTTTTGAGTTCTGTCTGTCAGCCAGTTACGAGGTGAGCCCGCTGGTATCTCTGCTACCCAGGGGAGGGACTGGGACCTAGGACGCTGGTCCTGCCGCTGCTGACCTTATAGCAGTGATCTTGGTCACTCACTGAGCCTAGGACCCCAGGCAGCTTCTCAAATCACCTCTTTGAGTCTTCAAAACAGTGCCGTGGTCTTGGGAAGAGGGTTTGGTGAGTGAAACAGGCTCAGAGGAGGCATCTGTGGGTCAGTGTGTTGTAGAATTTGAAGGCGATCAGGTACGGAGGGCTCAGAGTGCTTAGATAGTACCTTCTCCTGTTACCATCATCATCTTTATTTTTCTTAACTAGAGGTGAAACCCAGGGCCTCACACCTGCTAGGTAAGTGCTCTCCCACTGAGCTACATCCCCAGCCCTTTTTAAATTTTGAGACAGGGTCTCACTAAGTCTAAGTTGCGTAGGTTGACCTCAAACTTGTGATTCTCCTGCCTCAGCCTCCCAAGCAACTGGGATTATATGTGTGCATCAATATGCCCAGCTAGCCATCATCTTTAATCAAGCACCTACTATGTGCCAGGCACTTTACTGGTACTTTTGTGAATGAGTTCATTTAATCTTTAGCCCCTCTGAAGCCTATAGAATTATATCAAACTATGTTTGTTTGACATCTAAAGAAACAGAAACTCAGAGACTAAGGCTAAGCCCCAGGGGCCTCACAGGAAGTCCCCTCCTCCAAAAGCAGAGCCCCTTCCTCACACCCCAATCCTCCTGGCTGCCCTCTTGATCCTGATGGCTGTGTGTCACCCCTTGAGAAAGGCTGGGTGAAAGCAGAATTCAAAACCCGCAGGCCAACATTAGTGAGAACAGTTGCCATGTATGAGCCACCTCCTAAGTGCCAGGAATTGAATTTGTGATCTCATTTTATTTTCACCACTCCTAGTCACAGGCACTGTTTGCCTCAGTGTGCACCTGCAGGAAGGAATTCACTTGTCCGGGATCACAAGACTCTAGAGAGTGAGGGCTCTGAGTGGCAGCCAGGGCTCTGGTGCCAAAGCCCTTTTCTTTGGTTCATGGGAGAGAGGATTTGGAGGCCCCGATCCATCATCCAAATCCAAATCCGCAGCGTCCATCCCAGCTGACATATTTACCATCACCTCCCATTCGTGGACGCACCATATATATAGATATATATCACTTTGAACATAACATATGTTGAACATGAATACATATATGTTTAATCTTTCCAGCAACCCTTTAAAGTAGGAACTCTTGTTCCTATTTTACAGCAAAGAGAATTGGAACACAGAGAGGTTAAGTAGCATGCCTACAAAGCTGAGATTTGAACACAGGTCAATTGACTCCAGAAATGGTGTTATTAACGAACTGCTGCTTCCCAGCAACTGGAAAAGCAGGACACATGGAATGTCAGTAAAGATAAAGGCAAATGCAGGGCATGGTGGCACGTGCCTGTAATGCCAGCACTCTGGGAGGCCGAAGCAGGAAGACTGCAAGTTTGAGCCCAGCCTGGGCAGTTTAATGAGACCCATTCTCAAAATTTAAAAGGGGGTCGGGGCGCTGGGGATGTAGCTCAATGCTAAGGCACTGGATTATATCCCCAGTACTGGAGGAAAAAAAAAGCCACAAGTTTAGGGATAGGACTGGAAGCAGGGACGAGGGTGTGTCAGTACAGCAGGGCTGGGTCTCCATCTCTCTGGCCAGGTTCCCAGTCACCCTCCCTGTCTGCGGGAACCATCGCTGGCATCGTCACTGGAGTCCTGAGTGTCATTGCTCTGGTGGCAGGACTGGGCTATTACAGCAGAAAGGCCGGATGGTAATTACTGGGGAGGGGATGGGACGTGGCCAGCAGGGGCCGCCTGGTGAGAGGGTTGCTGATCGTGGTGCTGAGCGTGTCCCAGCCCCTGGGGAATTCAGTGTTTGGGGCCATCATCCAAGAACATTTGGGACATGGTCAGAACCTGTGGAGATGGGCAAGAACTAGCAGTGTTCACTGATAATTTACTTGAAATGATAATTCAGCAAACAATAAGGAGGCTTTGGGGTTTCAGGCTCTCAAAGATATTAGGAGATGATCCCGTGTCCAAGGCCTCACAACCTACTTCCGGGAGGAAGCACTCTACAGAGCCCAGCGCAGGTAAGTGACCCCATGGCGGACATTCTGGGCAGTAATGAGCGCTGGGGAAGAGCTGGGGTGGAAGCCCAGGCCTCTCCTCCCAGCTCTGCCACCCGACTACTGTCTGATGTGGGCAAGCACTGTTCCAGCTCCCTGAGCCCCAGTGCCCTGGGTCCCTGTGGAGATAGGGATGAGACTGGCCTCAAGAATTCTGACCGGTTCCACCTGTTCCAGCAGCTGTGGGAAAAGAAGGACAATATGGTGGCATTCTCTCCTCAGCCTCAGAAAACCCTGTTATCAGATTGCTGTAGACAGAGCAAGTCCATGGGCTCGGCCCTTCCCGTTGAATCCAAACCCAATCCCATAATTCATCTCTGCACGATGCCTCACATGCTGGTGGGCAGGGCTGACCCAAGGGCAATGGAGGCGTCTTCGCCATCTCTAAACCTAGGATTCTGAAAGGATGAGCCTCATGATATGGCAGGGCCTCTAGAGATGGTTTGATCCAGCCTCATCTTACAGAGGGGGAGACCACGACACGGGGGATAAAGGACTAAGCCTGGGAAGGCTACACAGGACCTGTGGGCAGGATTGGGGCTGGGACTTGGGTTTCCCTCCCCATCCATGTCACCAAACAGCCTGAGGTAACCTACAACCTGATTTCCAAGACAATCTTAGCTTAAGCTCACCAGAGATATGAAGGGGAGGAAGGAGGTTTGCTGCTCCTTATTTCCTGAGGTTGAGGGTCCTGGGAAGCAGCTCCTTCCTCGGTCTCTTCCTAACTGCAGCTCTGGGCTGGGGCTTGCTTTCTCTAGACAAGCCGAGGCCTTTGAGTTTCAGAATACCTGAGATCCAGGAACACACCAGAGTCAATCAGGTGGGTGAGCTACATCTCCTCTCCAGAGGCGTCTTTTCTGAGGCCCTCAAGGCCCTCCCTGGCTCAGAAGCGAAGGGAGGGTTAGAACCAGGCCAGCTGCTAACCCAGAACTCTTTGCTTGCTCCTGTCAACTCTGTGAGCTCTACTCTCAGCCCCCCTCCATCCCTTCTCCTGGGATTCTCGCATTTTAACATAACACTGATTAGCCTTGAGCCGCCTGGGAATCAGAAGGGATGTAATTACCTTTGAGGCTCAGGCTGTTTCTGAGAATTTCTGGGGGCGCCCCCATCCCAGGCCCCACAACCTCTTTACTACTTTGTATTTCCCCAGATGTTCTGGTCAGCACCCCCACAGCACTTCTATGAGGTATGTCAGCCCCGCTGCAGTGGATCGAATGTTTCACCAGGCCGAGAGGCCACCTTATCTGAATCGTCATTGCGCATCACAGGGCAAGGGGTGGGGAGAAAGTGGCCCATGGCCTCAGCAGGCTCAGATTCCAGGACTCTGGCTCTCATTTTGTTCCTTCTACCTCCGGGGCTTGGAATTGGGTTCCAGGGCAGTGGTGCTGGCCCAGCATGGGGTTGGGGGAGGAGATCGAGAGTAGAGGTTATGAAGCCAGCAAGAGACAGGAAAGAACTCTGAGCCAGCAGCTGGCCTGGGTCCTAACCCTCCCTCCATTTCTGATCTCTTTGAGAACCTGGGTGGACCCTGTTCCCTCTCTGGGTGTTAGGTGGCATTTTCCAGGCAGGCTATACCTGTGGGCCCATCTGCCTTCTCTGCTCGCTTGCAGACGAAACTACCTCCAGCAATCCCAGGAGGCTTTGCTCTCAGACCCAGGAATCCACAGTCCAAACTTCCAGAGCTTCCAGTGGGCCCCTTTCTACCAGAAAAAAACAGGGAGTCAAACTACCAGGTACTTTCACAGCAGCCTGAGTCTCTGGACAAGTGGGAAGCTGTTACCAATCTGCATTTTCCTCCTGTGCTGGAGTCTGTAGGATAGACTGTTGACAAAATTTCCCCTGAAAATATTTTCAGTCTCATTCTATCCATTTCTATCTTTTCATTTTCTAGCTAATGTCATCCATTGCTGTCCAGTGCACTCCATTTTACTCCGTTCTGTTTCCACTGAATTTATTTTCACTCCACCCATTTCCATATTACCCATTTAACTTTTCTCCATTTCTGTCTTTCCCTATCACTTTGCTCAACTGTTTATTTTTCACTGTATTTAGTGTTAGTCCATTCCACTCAGTTCCTCCACACGTCATCTATTCCCATTCCATTCCTTTCCATCTCTTTCCATTTGCTCCACTCTTTTCCATTTCTTTGCATTCATCCCATTCCACTGTTCCATCCCTGCAACTGTTCCACTGCAACCCTCTTCATCTTTTTCTTATTTCATTCCCTCCCATTCTTTTTAGTTGGAGGGACAGAGGAACCACTCTCCAAAAATTTGGATGTCATATAAAAGCATATACACATTAGGGATTTTTAATGCTAACATTTCTTCATTTTTACGTATTTCAATTTCATTCCATTTATTTCTTCTGCTTTCCATTATCTTTCTATTCCAGTCCACTGAATTTCTGTCCCAACACTTTATTTCATTCGTATTTTTAATTCTCTTCCCATTCTATTCATGTTCTTTCTTGTTATATAGTAGTCCATTCCACTCATTCTATTTCCCATTGGCCCGTTCTTTTTTCTTCAGCCTTCCTGTTTACATTCATTCTGTTTGATTGGCTTTCATTGCCTCCCACTGCAGTCCACCACTTCTTCTATGCACGGTTTCCCCATCCATTTCCTTTTCCTCTATTCCTCTCTGTTCTTTTGCTCTTCCCTTCTTCTTCCATTCAGTTCTATTTCACTCTTTTCCATTCATTTTCATTCTGTTCTCCTTTCATTCTTCTGTGATTCACCTACTCTGTTCTATTCCATTCTTTTAACTTCCATTCTCTCTTTTCATGCCCTTCACTCCATTCCATTTTCCTTGTCTATGTTACTTTCTATTTCTTATTTTCAAGCCCCATTCCTTCCCATTTCACTTCATTCCTCTTGGTTTCGTTCTAGCCCCTTTCATTCGCTCGCCTTCACACTTTCTCACACTCTGTGCTTTGCTATTCAGTTCCATTCATGACATTTCAATATTTTGGAGTCTATGAAATTCCATGTCTTCCTCTTTTGCTCTTCTCCACTTCTGAGCTCATGTAGCTGTAGGCAGAATTAGGTTCTTTGCAGACCATCATGAAGGCCTCAATTTCCTACTGTCAGAGGGAGGCTGCCCTTGTCCTTTGCCATGTGTCCCCCTCCATAGGCAGCTCACAGCACCCTATCTTGCTTCTTCAAAATCAAGATGGAAACCATGATCTTGTGTTACAGAACTGCATCCATGCAAGCATATACATCCCGTCCCGTCTCCTTTGACATATTCTATTAGTTAGATGGAAGTCACAGGTCCTGACCATAAGGGAGAGGATTCCACAGGGGAACAACCAGGAGGTGGGGACAATGGGGCCATCTTAGAATCCATCTCCCAACAACAGTTGCCAGGGTGACTGAAGTGAAGTGCGAAAGGAAGATGATCTTTGGGAGTTCCACAGATGTGAGAGTGCGGGTTGAGCTATAGACTACAGCCAGCTAGGACAGAAGCATCCACCCAGCCAGTAGAGCTTACATTTTCTCTTTGTTTAACAGACACTCATACATCCAGATGATGACATTTACTGCCAAATAGGCTCCAAAGCCTAACAGAAGCAGAGATCCTTTCTCCAGAAGTTCTAGAGAAACCATGCTACATCACGATGTATTTAATGACATTTATTGAATGCATACTATAATCCAATCACTTCTCATCGCCTTTGTAGACTGTGTGATGTTCTATTTCAGTGTGTTGGTCAGGGTCAGGACTCTGTCTCCTACCAAGTCTTAGACTGTCATTTGTTTAAAAGCTATAGAAAAAGGTGAAAGTGACAGCCCTTGAATTAGAATTAGTGCAGGCCAAGAATTGAGACCCGGCAGCCAAGGACACCATAGCTGTCTCCTGGATGAGCACACACTGTTGGTGGCCACAGGAGCCCGGAAGAATCTGAGTCTGAGTTAGCCAGGGCTAAGCAGGGCCATCCTCACAAACTCACAAGTGTTCCTGATTAGTGGAGTCACACGAGACTTCCATCTCCAGTGCTGTGTGACGACATGTATGAGTGTGTGAGGAATGCTCTCCCCAACCTGGGTGTCTGGGGTTTTTATGAGGGGTCGTTCTCATCGGCATCCACTGCCTGTGTGAGTGACCTCAGGGACTGAAGTCTCAGAGCTCCCAAGCAGGAGATCAGGTGCCCCCCATAAATCCCACTATCTTGACAAACTTGCATAGCATTGCTCAAGGCCTCGTGAGGGTGAAAACACTCTTCTCAGACAGAACGTTGTAAGAGCTCAGTTCTCAGAAGCCAGCCGAATGTCAGTGAAGCACACAGCTTTTCTTGGAAATGTGCAGGCTTTGGACAAGCTGGGCCTGCTACATTAACCCCAAGGAGAGGGGATGAGGATAAGGTGGAATAGGGGCGGACAGCGGAATCCTGGGTCTCTTCAATGTTCATAGCAGAGATCAAGTAAAGGAGACAGTAAGGGACTGAAGAAGACAGGAGGAAAAACAAAAACAAAATCCTGGAAACCAAGAAGAGGTTTCCAGAATGGGCTGTTATCCTTGGAGCTGTGATACTGTATCTCCTCCCCTTTGAGGACTCTTAATTTGTCTTCCAGCACTTGGATTTGTACCCTCCTTTCCAGTGGATGCTGAGTTCTCATCCAACTCTGGTTAATCTGACCTCAGCATGAAATGTGGGTCTCATTCAGTCCCCAAACAGCTGAGAGGGAAATCTCTGAGGCCAGTGGCTTCCCATTCCTCAGTGGTAGCTGACCTAAGCCCCTAAAGTATTTGGACTAGGCCAGGACTATTGGGGACTCCTGCAGGTAAACTTCATCACCTTGTAAATAAAAATGAACAAGCTAAACAAAAGACAAAGTCATGAGTTCAATCCCCAATACAAAAAAAAAAAGAGACGTCAGTTTTAAACATTACTAACACTTTATTGTTTGAATATCTTAAACTAAAAAATTAAGCAAAATGATTGAAAAAGAAGATGAACAAAGCATCTTGTGATTTCTCTTGTATTTGTGCTTGTAGATCAATCTGTACGGTCTGACATCTCAGGACAGGGATTTAGCTCAGTGGTTCTGCCGCCTGCCTTGGAAGTGCAAGGTCCCCAAGTTTGGTACCGGAAAAAAAAAAAAAAGATCTGATAACTTTCCAATACAGCCAGGAATTTGTCTTTTACCTCCATCAGCAACATTTTCAAGTTTCTTACTATGTTTTGTATTTAGCTTGCTAAATTTATTTGTAGGGTCTTTTTCTTTTATCATGAATAAATGTAAATTTTTTTCTATTTTGTTTGCAAACCTGGTGTTACTTTTATAGAAAAAGATATTAATGGGTAACCAAGGGGCAATATAATGTAAAAGTTAAAAGTATGGACTCAGGGTTCAGGCTTTTTTTGGTTCAAATCCAGCTCTACCCTAACAATACCAGCTAGGGTAAGTTGTTTAACCTGGACTTCAATTTCTTTCTTTTTCTTTTTCTTTTTCCTTCCTTCTTTCTTTCCTTCCTTGTTTTTTTTTTTTGGTATCGGGGATCAAACTTGGGACCTTGTACTTGCGAGGCAGGTGGTGGAACCACTGAGCTAAGTCCCTGGCCCCTCTTCCTTGTTTTTTGAGACAAAGTCTCACTGTGCGGTTCAGGGTAGTCTATGAGAAATGCGTTCATTTACCCAGACCCAAGGAGTGGACTCACAGGCCCAAGAGCAGTGAAGGCGAGGGTTTAATTTGGTATTGCAAAGCTGGGTGTTCACTATGCAAGCAGGCATACCCAAGGCAGTTACAAAAGCAATTTATTTGTTGAATGAAGGTCCCTTCCCTTAGTTCCTCATTGCTCAGCATTTCTATTTCATCTGTAAAACTAGTCCCACCACAGAAGACTAAAAGAAAAAAAATGCAAAATGAGCCACAATAAGTGATAAGAAATTATCGGAGGCGGATCAGTCCTCTGATCTGCCTAGAGAGGGGTACGGCAAGGGATAAAGAAAGGCAAAGAGACTTTCTAAGTTCATGGGTGGCTGGGAGGTCAATGCCAGAGTGAGCAACATGAAGACACCAGGAGCTAGCCACTATTGGAGGGAGTATTGGGTGACTCAGAGGTTGGAGGTAATCCTATGTTGATGGGGATCTTATGTTGATGAGGATGGTGAGCTGGGCAAAGCATTATTACTGAAGGACCCTAGTCAGCAAGACAGACTCCATATTGCTGCTGAACGACCTACCTGCCCTTTAGATGAACTCAGAAGGAGGAAGCTTAGAAACCTCCTCCCCTTAGAGTCTCTTACAAACAACAATTAATCAACTATTGTTTTACAAATGTTCTAACAGCAGGACGTTCCGCTTCTGTACCTTTTACTTGCTTTACTAGTTCTATCCCATAGGGGGGCCTAGAAACTGCTGGCCTCAAAGGTGTATAAAATATGTCAATCTCCCCGAGTCGAGCCTCGAGTCTGATGCTTGGCTCCGGTCCCGGCCAGTAATAAACTCCTGTGTAGATTTAATATCAGTCTCTGGTTGGTTCTTTCTCGCTGGGTGAAACACTTACAATAGTAGGTGGGATGAGACAGCAGGCTAATAAGGAATCTGTCCTTTCCCCCAGACAAAACTTTTCTCCTTTTTTATTACTACTTGGTTCTCAAGGAACCAAGATGTCTTCAGTTTATATACTCTTGCCCTGGAGCATCACAGCATTGTGGGTCCATTCAGGCCTCAACTGTAACAGGAGGCACAAGGAGTCAGATGAATCCTAACCACACTTTAGGACATCATTTCCCCCCCAAAATTTTATAGAATGGCTCTCGACAAGAAATTCTGGGGGTAGAGAGTACATTTCAAATAGCAATAATTTGTTGTTGAAAAATCAGAATTTAAGTGAGGAAAATCATGACTGCTTTGACAATCATCTTCAAAAAGCTAAAAACCTACATTTTCATATAGTAGGGCTCCAGTTTTCAGCTTCCACCCTGGTAGGGTGGAAGTGAACATCACAATGACATAGGGTGCTAGGGTGATTAGATGTTAGTGTGTAACCCAGAGCCAGGAACCTTTAGCAATTCAACAAGTGTTTATTGTGCATCTATCACATGCCCAGTATATTTTGAATTGTTCTTTTTCTTTAGATGTTGGATACATAAATTTTTCTTATATAGATACCTAAAACGTATAGTGTATTAAATCGTGAAAAATTCTCTAGAGCAAAAAAATAAGGATGAAGAGGGAGGCAAGGAGCTTATGGAGACGGGAAGGGTTGTTTGCAAGTTTACAGTGGTGGTCAGGCAATGGCCCAAGAGAAAGGTCACATTCCCCTAAGGGCCAGACTGAGCCAAGTTGATCCCTCAGAGCAACATCCTGCCAGACAGCAGGAATAACACGTGCAAATGCCCTGTGGCAAGAATCTGCCTAATCCTCAAGGCCTTACAGGCAGAAAATAAACTCATTTTCAAAAATGAGTTGTTTATTCTCGGCTTTTTCTCTTTTGTAACTTTTTTTTTTTTTTTTTTTTTGAGGCAGGGTTTTGCTCGAATGTGTGATTGTCCTGCCTCAGCCTTACAGAATGCTGGGATTACAGGCGTGTGCCACCACGGCCTGGGTAGTAAAAGGATTCCTGTTTTATCAAGTACAAAAACTTCGGATTCTTGAAAGGCTGCATGGCAACGCCTCAATTGTAAAATAGGGACACCAGGTTTACCAAGAGAACCAACAGGCAGTAAGAGCTCAGGAGAAACTGTCGTTTCCACTCAGATTCCATTTTCAGGGCGACTTGCCGGCGTCAAGCGGGTCTGAGGCCAGCTTTTTGTCGAGCACCTCACCGCTCTGCAACCGCTTCCCTGCGAAAGACTGGTCTCAGCATCCCACAAAAGCCTCCGACACACAGCCTGAAGGACGATGCTCAGCCCTGTAGGGCAGCGCTCCAGCTCTTGCTTTACCAAGGAGCGCAATGCCCACCCTAAAGCCGCACGCGCCGCTGAGGCTTCTGGTAGTTGGAGTTCCGGCTCGCTCAGCCCAATGCACTTCCGGGTTCGTCTCGAAGCGCAGCCATTGTCCTGCGCGCGGATGCTTGCAATCGTTCCGCACCGTAGCCTTTTGAAGTTCACCCCAAGCGATCGGAAGAGGATCTGTCTAGTTTAACCCTAGTCTGACGTGGTGCAGAATCGAAGCAAGGGGCTGCTTAACTCGAGTACGTTTTGCCGCGGAGCCGTGCCGGCATCCCAAGCAGGGACAGGACAGGCCTGCGCTGCCGGGGCTCGGACGCCCAGGTTGGTGGGGGGAGGCACAGCATTGGGTGTGCGGTGTGCGCATGCGCAGGATGTAGGCCAACACCTGTAAGCTGTGGTGTGTGGGTGGGGGTTCTGGCGCCTTATCGCTAGATATGTTCAGTCTTACGTCTGGAGGCTGGTGGAGATACTGAGGCAATTGCTACTGTGCTTGGCGCGCATGCGTGGATGCTTGGGCAAGTGGTTCACCGATCTGGGGCTTGAGGATGCTCATGTTGCTGGAAGATAGGGCAGGGACACGGATATGGGGCAGAACCTGGGGAACGACCTTCTCCAATGCTGTATCTATGTAGTGGAGGGCTCGAGGGTGCCCAGGTTTTTGAAGTGCACAGTGGCAGATTTCTGTTCCTGGAAGGAGGGGCTGTGCCACTCTCACTATACTCTAAAGCAGGGATTTGGGTTGGAAACACCAGGTGAGATTCTGAGCAGTTGCCTCGGGGACTCTGGAAGACATTGTTTTTCTCTCAGGCGTGGGAACCCTCGACTTGTGGAGACACTAGGTTGGAGTTGCAGGTTCTTACCCCAGGAGAGGCAGTGTTACTTCAGCAAACCCTCGGTGGGATTCTGCAATAGACGGCCAAGTTCTGGGTCCTAGACAGAGTGCTCCCCCCACGTGCTCTGAATAGGAGTCAGGAACTTGACTATGATCTTGATCCATGTAGGAGAGTGCAGAATTCTTGGGCATTCGGGTTTGGTGGAGATGCTGGGTTGGAGGCAGAGAATCAGCTCGGGAAGGACTGAGTTTGAGCAGTTGTGGTCAGATTGACAGCTCCGTGGGGGAGATAGCAGGATAATAGCATCATTATGAGCAGGTGTTCTGGGACCTTCGCTTAGGCTCCTCAGCTTGCAGACCTGAGAGTGTCCAGGTTGGTAGAGAGACAAGAGTCTGGGCTGCAGATTTGAATGTGAAAGGAGCTGACTCTGCCTGACACCCAGGCTGTCATGTTGGACAGAAGGAAGGGGAAGGGCCCAGTTTCCGTGGGTGCAGCACCAGCATGAGTTTGAGAACTCCCAGGGTGGCGAGTGTGACAGATTCCTGAGCTCTGTATGCAGGCTACCGCCTAGGTACTCTGGTGTTTGGCAGTGGAGTAGGTGACCCCAGGATTTTCATGGAAACTTGCGGGTGCCTGAGGTATCTCAGTTTGCAGCATAGGGTAAGTGTGCAGATTCTCATCTCAGGAGCAGGGACTGCACAAAATCCCTTGGTGAAGCACTCAGGCCTTGGATGCAGATTCTGGGTGTGAACCTGCCCTGTGTGGGGGTGGGGTGTGTGTGCCATGAAGGAGAGGGTGGGCCGCTGTGCAGTGGCTGCAAGAGTGGAGGCCTGGAAGCCCCGGTGTGGATCTGCAGGCTCTGGTTGTAGGAGGCATGGGGCTGCTCCAGGGGTAGCCTGCACAGTCCTGCCTGGGACCTGGTGCAGCCTGGGGATGCCTGGGCGGGTGGAGAGAGCTGCTGTAGGTTAGGGGCTGAAGAGAGGCAGGGCCATTCCAGTGACCCTCTGTGCACAGGAATAGGTGTTTGGGTGGGAAGAAGGTGGCCGGAGATGGATTTTTAGAGAGTGCTTGTGTCTTTATGCAATATTGCCCTGATCACTGCCTGACAGTCCCCAGGTTAGTGGAGAGATAGGATCTCTGAGCCTTAGCTACCCAGGAAAGTGTTAGGGCAGGAGTCAGATGCAGCTCAAGATGGGACCTGTGGAAGCCTGGAGGGAATGGGCTTGGGTGCAGGTGCAAGGCACAGCTCCCTTGGGAACACACACTGCACTGCCTGAATGAGAATCTGGAGGTGCAGAACAGTGGGTAAAACTGAGAGCTGGGGTGCAAGGGATGGAGTAGATTTGCTTTAGTCTCAGACAAAAAGACATCTAATTAATACAAAAGCAGCTGAGCTATCGAGGTACACATTCTGTGCTGAGGAGGGGCTGCCCTAGACTGGCCTGTGCTGGTGTCTGCCACAGTCCTCAGTCCTGTGCAGACTCTGCTGCACTCAGGGAGATGGAGGAAGCAGGTCAGAGCTGCACATTCGGGCCCCAGGAGGTTGTTGAGGTGGGAATCTCAGCCAGTGATGTTTTGATAAGATGGTGGAGGAACCTGGGCCTGGCCGCAGCTGAGCTCTGAGCTCAGCTTGGCTGTCTGAGCAGGAGGTAGAGGCCACATTCCCAGGGCTGCTGGAGGACAGGCCAGGCTGCTGGAAGGGCAGGGTCAGTGCTCATTGCTGAGTCACTTTCTAGGGGTGGAACTGGCGAGCTTCATGCAGTTCATACATGTCAGGGACTGTGATTCTGGGCCATTAGTACCAGAGCTGTGCTGCTGGCCCTGGGAAGAGGTGCTGGTTTGGAGTTGCATGTTAGGGATGGGGCAAAAGGGTTTACACCACGGAGTCCCCCATGTGCTGGTTGTTTGTGTGGATCTCAGGATCCGGTGGACCAGGGGAGGGACTAGTGCTGCAGATTTTGGTGGTAGGGAGAAGGCCATGTTTGGGCATGAGGTGGCTTGTGGGTGGGTGGTAGTGAAGGAGCCGGCTTGGAGCTGCAAGATCTTGGCCAGCCCAAGAAGGACTGGGGGGGCTCTTGGTTCATGCATAGGTATTTGGGCAGAAACCTCTAGAAGCACCCTTGCCATGGGTATGCATCCTGGGATCGGAGGCTGATTGGGGGGCAGGTTGGTGTAGGGATGGGTAGACCTGCAGAGAATGTTCTTAGGGCATCTCTTCTCCCAGCAGCTCACACCTGCCAAACCTGGAGGGGAGCATGGAGGAGCGGGATGAGAAGCCCCCAAGGCCCTTGAAAGCCTACGAACAGGTGCGTAGAGCAGGGCCCCTCCCCTGAGAGCCCTGGGGCCTCTGCCCACCAGGCCCACAGCTCACCCTCTGAGGTCTCTGTAGCTTTTCAGGGGCTTTGGTCCCTCACGGTTGTAGACTTTTAACATGTACACACTGCATTTTATGAGTCTCTCGGCTGCAATTCTTCATCTTTTTTAGTAGAGACAGTGTTTTCTTGGAGAAACTTGGACTCTTGAGTTAAAAGTTTTTGGAGTACTGATTCACCTTTTCCAGCAATTTACAGCTTTGTTGGAGAATGAACAGTTGGAATATCCTAAATGTGCAATGAATTGTAGATAGTTCAACAAATTATGAGATGGCACATACCGAGGCATCCATATTAAAACTGATATGATATACTAGTGCATCTTACTGGCAAAAAGATACTGATTTATATTAAGTAGATAGTATCTAGAAGTCATTGGCTTTTGAAATAGAAAGTTGTTCATGTAGAAAATATGGTAGAGACCATAAATACACGAGTTAAGAAAGGTTGTCTGTCAGTTATGTTATAAGGGATTTTCAAAAATTACTTACCCATAGCTTTGTACTTTTGTACAGTACATTTTCAGGTTAAAAATGAATAATTGAAAGCATTGTCTTACAGCAAATATTCTTTGAAAACATTTAGTCTCTTGAAAATATTAACTTGAACTTCCTTTCCTGAACAACCCAGTCCCGACAACCATAGGTAGGCGAGTAGGTACCTTGAGTTGTGGATGTCCACAGTGCACCCTGGTACAGGGTCAGAGCCCAGGTGGAGGGAGGGAGTTGTGTATGTAGGGGGCAGCCCAGAGTGGGTGTTAGAACCCACTGGGGATGAGGACAGGGTCTGGACAAGGTGGTGGCTGGGCATGGGGAAACAGAGCCCATGTGGGGTGAAGCTGGTATGCATGTGGGGAGGGGGATGTGGGTGGAGTGACAGCCAACAGGTGAACAGGGCATCCACAGAGGGGATGTTTCCTATAGAGGCAGTGCAGGTGTTCTTGCTGGGGTAATTTGGTGGGGGTGTTGGAGCCAGAGCAGGGGGAGACATGTGCCCCATCAGGGCAGGGGTGCAGCATGGCTGGCACGTGGGAGCTAGAGGAGCTTGAGGGCATGAAGGAAGCCTGCATAGGATATCAGGGCCAACCAGGACATGGAGGGCATCCATGCAGTGGCATAGTCCAAGCCCAGATGGCACAAGGAGTGAGTCCATGATAGGGGGTGCCTTGGCCTGGGGAGTCTGAGCCCAAGCTGGGTGACAAGTGTCCCTTGGCAGAGGGTGGCCTCCTGTGGGTGGCAGAGCCAACATAGATGAGAAAGGTCTGTGTCAGGGAGGGTAGGTTAGGGGGAGTGGAGATTAAGTACTCACAGGGGGCTGATGAAGTCAGGAACTGTAGTGAGGGCAGCAGGAACCCTTGTCGGAGCATTGAGGTACAGATGGAAAAAGAATGCACTTGATGGTGATCAGTGGGAATTGAAGGTTCTGATGTGGGCTCGTGGTTTTCAGGATGCATAGATGTAGAAATATGGAGAGACGTGTGCCTCTGTGTGCACGTATGTATTCCCTGTGTGCCCTCTGAGGGGGCCTGGGGGACATTCCAATACCACTGTGTGTACCAACTGCCCAGACTTTGAGTTTTAAATATACCAGAGGTTTTATGGTTTCACTGTTAATGGCTATTTAGTGCTCAGTCTTTTTGCTGTTACAAACAGTGCTGTTGCAGGTATTTTGTACATTAGTCCTTGAACATGTGCAAGAGTTTCGTAGGGAGTTAATTACAGTTAGAAATTTCTATCTATATTAGTCACTTTCCTATCACTGGGACAAAATGCCCACCAGGTGAAAGTTAAAGCAGGTATTTTGGCTCACTGTTTCAGTGGGTTCAGTCTGTGGCCAGCAGGCTCCAAGGCAGAAACAACATGGTGAAAGGGCAGAGGAGAGCTCCTCACACTATGGCAGCCAGGAGGCAGAGAGGGGAGGCAGGGACAGAATGCACTCTTTTGGGTCATGCCCCCACTCGTGACCTGCCTTGTCCTACGAGGCCTCAGCTCTGAAGAACATGGCGGACATTTTATTTTTATTTTTTTTGGTACCAGGGATCAAACTCTGGTCCTTGCACTTGCACAGCAGACAGTGAAACCGCTGAGCTAAATCTCCGGCCCTGGAGGACGTTTTAGATCAAAACCATAACAACATCTTCATCAAAACTATCAGCAAAATTTTATTTGATATGACAATCAGTACTGTATTTTTTTTTTTTTTTTGATCCCGAGCATTGAACTTAGGACCTTGCACTTGCGAGGCAGGCACAGTGCCACTGAGCTAAATCCCCGGCCCAATACTGTATTTTAAACTAGTGACTTTTGAGTATCTTTTGAGAATCTGAACGCTCTTTGTCCTTTTCTTCTTTGTCAGATGCTGAATCAGGAATCTCTTTATTATATTACTTCTGTTACATTTATTGATTATATCCTGTGTAAAGTACTAGGAGAAAGGTAAGGCAGACAGCCCTGCCTTCTTGTCTTTGTTCATACAGTCAGAGATGTGCTTCTTATATTTTCCAAGGCCCCACAGGAAAAACAGAAACATAGTGCTAGTTATCAGTTATTGTATACCCAGAAGTTAGCAGCTTAAAACAACCCAAGTATGTTTGTTTATGTGCTTGTGTGTGTGCGTGCGTGTGTGTGTGTGTGTGTGTGTGTGTTGGGGATTAAACTCAGGTCCTTTGCACAGAGCTATGTCCCTAGCCCTTTTTTACCTTTCTAAATTTGAGACAGGATCTTGCTAAATTACTAACTTTCATCTTCCTGCTTTACCCTCCCAGAGTGCTGGCATTATAGGTGTGAGTCACCATATTATAGGCAGCTAAGTTAGATAGAAATTAATATACAGCCAGAGGGAGACTTGGTTCTCAAGAAGTCAGCACACACACAAAAAAGAGATCAGAATTGTGGATGGATGCACAGACCTAATGATAAAGATGCAGTGGCTGGGCCTGCATGCCTCCCCAAGGAATAAACAATAACTTGAGATTATATTGTAATCAGCACCACCTGATCCAGTAAGTCCGGATAGGCATCAGTCGCCCAGTTGGGTGGCCAGAGCATCTGGACCCATCCCTTTCAAAAAAAGTCCCTTCCCTTTATTTTTTTCCATGTATCTTTGCTAGGTGACTATTTCCCTATTGGATCAATATCAGCTAAGCAGCTACACTTGTAATCCTATAGATTGATGGTAATTTGACCCACATTGTACCTACATTGTGACTTTGCTGTATATATTACCCCTGACAAAGGGCCTTGCTGGCTACCTCATTTGGACCCCTCCTCAAAATTCAGGAGCTATTCTTCTTTCCTTATTTCCAATAAAATTCTTCTAACTTCTTCCTTTGGTTCACAACTTCATTCCTCGATCTTGTGGCAGAAATCCAGGAGCAGCTTAACTGGGCGTCTCTGGAGCTGTGGACCCCTGATAAGGTTGCAGTAAATTGCTGGCTGGGGCTGCTGCCTCCTGACAGCCTGATACAGTGGGTAATCAGCCTGCAAACTTGGTCATGTGGCTGTTGGCAAGAGGCCTCAGACCCATGCCCCATAAGCCTCTTTCCAGACTGCTCACACTCCAGCAGCTGATTTCTCCCAGACAAATGATGTGAGAGAGCTTAGCAGCGGGCTACCGCACTTCTCAACTCTGAGAATGCACAGTACTTAGCAGGGATCTCATGGATATTTTATTTCTCATGGAGTAAAATCAGTGGAGCCCAATTCTTGGCTTGAATGAAAACTATAAGCCCAGTGAGCAATTATAGGGCTAGATAAGAATTATTTTGGAATTTTGTTTCTGTGTAATACCTGCTGAGTTAAAATCATTAAGTTTTTCAATTTTTGCCATTTTAAAAACTGATCTTAGCCATTCTAAAAGCAAAAGCCAATTAACTAAAAGTATGTAATTATTTTGAAATACAGGCTAGTATTTATAAATTTCTCTCTATTAATAGCTCTCTTTCTTTCTGAAGTATTAGGGATTGACCCTAAGAAGGAGAAATGCGTATTTGAATGGACTGCTATTTGACAGGTTGATTGTATCCTGAAGAAAAAGTCCTTAGGAAGCTAAAGGAATGATCTGTGTGAAGGTGGTTTTTTAATGAGGGAAATACTTGTGTTGGTTTCTGAATATCTAATTAAGAGAATAAATGCTACAGAACAACATGGATGTACTATTGAAACATACAGTCAGCTTGCTCCTCAGTTTTACCCCTTCAAAGAAAAACTGCTTTTAATGCTTTTGAGAATGTCTTTCCAGACTTGTGGGCATATTTAAATTTTAAGAGAATCATTCATCTTGTGTATATTAATCATTGATATTTTCACTGGACATCTTATTATAGACCTCTTTCAGTTATTTATATACATTAGTACATGCAAATCTCTTTTTTCTCTTTGGCTACCAGTACTAAATAGTATTTGTTGTCTGGATAAAGCATAATTTATTCAACCAGGCACTTGCTAGTGGACATTTAATTCCCTCTCCCATTTTTACAGTGATGATTAACTTTTTAATGAGATTTCTTGTACCTGGATCTAGACAGACTTTCTGTTATTTCCCGAGGATAAATACTTTGAAGTATTACATTAAAAAAGTAAAAATCCCACAAAAATATATACAAAACTGAGGAAATCTGAGTAATATCTATACCTGAGTTAATATTGTACCAATGTCCACTTCCTGTCTTCGACAGTGTGGTTGATCGTGTATGGTATTACCATTAGGGAGAGCTGCATGGAGTTCTATTTTTGCAAGTCTTCAATACTTTAAAAATAAAACATTATTTAGCCAGGCATCACTGTGCATGCCTGTAGTCCTAGCACTTGGAGGCTGAGCAGGAGGATCTCAAGTGTGAGCCCTGCCTGAGAAACTTAGCAACATAGCAAGACTCTGTTTCAAAATTTAAAAAAGACTGGAAATGTAGCCTCATTCAATCATCAGTACTGAAAAATAAAGAAGGAAAAAAGAAAGAAGGGTGGAAAGAAGGATTATTTATAAACATAGCAAATCCAAGATGGTTGTCCAACTTATACTTCTACTAAGAATACATGAAGCATGGCAAGTGGGCTGTCAGAGTGGCTGTCAAGAATCATTAACAGTAAACAAATACTCTGTGTAGTCAGAATGTTGGTCAGTTACAACAGTTTGAGCTAGTTAGTAAATATAAAGAGTATAGTAGGAACCTGAGAAGATGATATAGTTTAGAAAAGTGTTCCGCAAAGGGCCTTGTGTTAAAGGTGTGGGTCCCAGCCTGTGTTGCTGTTGGAAGCCTTTGGGCGGTAAGGTCCAGTGGAAGGAAGGTAGGCTACTGGCGCTGTGCCCTTGATGGGAATATTTGTGACCCCAGTCTTGTCCTCTCTGTTTTCTTCCTGGTTGTTTGCTTCCTTACTGGCATGAGGTGAGCAGGTGGCTCTCCACACACTTTTGCCATATTGTACTGCCACAGCCCAAAGGAACAGGGCCAACTGCTCATGGACTTGAACCTCTGAAACTGTGAGCCAAAACAAACCTTTCCTCTTTTAAAGTTGGTTATCTCAGGTATTTTGTGGCAGTAATGAAAAGCTAGCACAGAAGATATAACTACAGAAACCAGGAAATGCAGAATGAAATGTGTTTTAAATTCTATTTAGAGGTATCAGTGTGAATTCATGGCCTCTATAGAGACATAGTAATAGATATTTGATTGTTTTTGACTTAAAAAGGTGAGAATCTGCTTACATATCCTCTGGTCATTTTATTTCTTCTTGATTGAGTTGTTTGCATGTTTTCCTTTGTCCATTTTTTTTGAGGTTATCGTTTTCTTATTGATTTGAAGAGTCTTAATAGCATACATCTTTATTTTTTTTTAATTTTTCAGTTTTTAAAATTTTTTGGTACTGGGGATTGAACTTGGGACCTTGTGCTTTTGAGGCAGGTACCGAAAGCATACATCTTTATTGACAGGTCCTTTATTGGTGATGCTTTCTGCTAAATTTTTTTTTCAGTTAATTTGTTATCTTTCCTTTATATGTCTGGCTTTAATGGTGCTGTAGTCCATTTTATTTGCTCCAGTTCTGCGATGCAGGACCCAACTGGCCAGTTCTTTTGCTATATGTAGTACCTGGGATCACGACAACTGTATTGAGCTGGCAGTGGGGCCAGCCTGGAAGATCCACAAGGACCTTCTGCCCATATCTGGGGCCTCGGTGTCCCCCAAGGTGGCCCCTCTCTTTCTCCATATGGTCAGCTTGAACGTACTGATGGCCAGGAGCCCAAGGTTGGCAGGTGGGACGTGTTAGAACAGCTCATATGTTAAATTCTAGCTGACTCACAGTGGGAGTTTTGAGCTATGAGTTATTTCCCTAATTTTTTTCCTTCTTTCATCTGTTCCACCTTCTCAGGACTCTTTCCCTCCTCAAGAGATTATCATCAAGGTGGAGGGAGAAGATGCTGGGCCACTGACCGCTCCATCCCATGTGAGTCAAGCAGGGCTTCTTTTTTTACATTGAAAATTGTATGTGACTAGTCAGTGATAAGAGCCAGGAGAGCTTAGTGAGTAGAAAGTGAGGAAATGGAAATGAGACTGGGGAAATTTCCAAGAAATTTGATTATTGCTTGAAAGATCAAAAGAGAGAGAACTTAAAGGATATTTGAGATTAAAGACTGGTTTTTATTTTTTTAAAGGATTGAAAAGATTTAACTCTACTTAAGTGATTACAGGAATGAATTAGTGGAAAAAAAGAAGTTAATCAGTAGACAGAAAAAATAAAGGAAATAAACTATAGAAAATCTTTGATTGGTACCAGAACAAGTTCAGTAAATGTGTGAATAAATTGACTATATGCAGGGAAGATTTCTACTAGATGAATGAAGGTGAGGGAGATGTAAAGTTGAAGTTGGTTTTATTCTATGAAAGATCAGATGAGGGTGAGGATGGGAATTGGAGTAGAGAAATGTTTGATAGGAGTGGAGAAGGCATAAAATTTGTCCTCATAGCTATAATAGTTTCTGGGTGGTCCAGAAGGATCATTAGAAGACAGTGATTCTTAATTTATAATACTCTGTTCAACTGTACTTGTAGCTTTTTTCTCAGTGGCATTTTGTAACCCACTTTCTGTAGACAGCAGAGTATCATCAAATTCATTCTGTTTATAATTTACCAGGTACAGTCAGTGGAAGATCTATAAATCAAGGTAATATTTGAAAGAGAATTTTTAAATGGCTCAAATAGAAAGATTAAAATGTATGATCCATGGACTTTAAAGTAAATAAGATAGAAAAGGTATTTGGGGCCTCTAATCCCGGCACTCTGTGAGGCTGAGGCAGGAGGATTGCAAGTTTGAGCCTAGCCTGGGCAATTTAACAACTTAGCAAGACCCTATCTCAAAATTTTAAAAAGGGCTGGAGATGTAGCTCAGTGGCAAGGCCTTGGGTTCAATCCCCAGTACTGAAAAAAAAAGGAGAAAAAGGAAAAGAATGCTCTGAATAGAAAGGAAAAGTATATTGTCTTAGTTACTTTTCTTGTTGCTGAGACAAAATACCCAACACACAAAGTTAAAGGAGGAAAGGTTTATTTCAGCTCACAGTTTGTAGGGGTTTCAGTCCATAATTGGCTGGCTCCAAAGCAGAGTGGCATGGCAGAGGGCCATCACAGAGGAGAAACAGTCCATGGCAAAGCAGGCAGGAGGCAGTGAAGCAGCAGTTTGTTCCTAGAACAAACTTCAGCTGCCATTCTCTGTTGCTCAGGCAGAAGCTGCTGAAGTTCCTCTGTAGACAGTTCCCTCTGAGTGTTCCTCTTCCATTTCTTCAACATCACCACTGTTAGCTTGCAAGCTTATGGACTCTGCTATAGTGACAGTGTCATCAACCACAGGATCAATTGAAGTCTCAGGCTCCTCTACACAGCCTTCAAAGTCTCTCTCCTGTGTAGTTTTAGGTCACATTTTCTTCCAGGGAGATTTCAGTGTCCTTAGAGAGACACTGGCCTAGGATTTGTCAGTTAACCCCACATAGGAATGTTATAATTTTCCTTCTGGAACTTTTTAAAGGGTTAAGTCTGTATCTGAGACCATTTGGAAGAACTTCAGGGACGGTCCCTTGGTATATAGCTTCTTAAAGTTAGTCAAAGGAAGCAAAAGACCTCTACACTGAAAACTACAGCACTCTGAAAAAGGAGATCAAAGAGGATATAAAAAAATGGAAAGATACCCCTTGTTCCTGGGTAGGAAGAACCAATATAGTGAAAATGGCCATACTTCCAAAACTACTATATAGATTTAATGTAATGCTGA